CAGTGAGTGAGTGAGTTTAGTTTTATGCTGCTTTTAGCAATATTCCAGCAATATCACGGCTGTGGACACTAGAAATGGGCTTTACACATTGTGCCCATGTGGGGAAATGAAGCCTTCCATGTGATGAGAGAACGCTTTAACCACTAGGCTACCCCACCGCCCCAACAGATACCAAGCCAATTCAGCAGATCCTGGCACAACTGAGAGACACAACTTTGTACAAGGCCTTAAGACTAAATGGGGTTATATCATGTTCAATACATATTCACCAAGGTTGTCTAGAAATTCTTAGGGGCGGTGGGGTAGCCTAGTGGTTAAAGCATTCGCTTGTCATGATGAAGACCCGGGTTCGATTCTCCACATGGGTACAATGTGTGAAGCCCATTTCTGGTGTCCCCCGCTGTGATATTGCTGGAATATTGCTAAAAGCGTCATAAAGCTAAACTCACTTACTCAGAAATTCTTAATCAAATGACCTTAGCAGTACGAATTTAGCAGTATGAACATATCCTTCAAATACTATTTAGACAAATGGATGTTTTGCTTTGTAGGGATGTCCAACAAAATGGTCCACTTGCCATTAACAAAAACAAAATTCAGTATGTGATCCTAGTGGAAGCAATATAACACAACATTTGAATTGTAAAAACCAAAGTGATTTTCGGACTATTACAACATTGAGCAAACCCCACATATAAATGTCAGTGTGCCAAGCTCAATCATGACTATGTTTCCGATAGGCTAGCAGCATGGTGTGAAATGTCACCTAACGCCATCAGCATTGCCATCCCACTAATGACCTGACTATAGGATTGTTGATTATCTCCATCAATCTCCAACCAGCCTCTACAAGGCTGGGATATCAACAATAACATACATACTCAATAAAATACAGCTGTATAGAAGGTTAGGCCAAATTGTTTTCAGTTGGTTTATGAAAAAACAACAACAAAAAAACACTTAAATTCAAGAAGAAAAATGACATTGGACAAATAAAATGGAGGCTGATTCTTTTTTTACAATTCAGTGAAGGGGAAAAAACCCATGAGATTTCATCACTACAGTGTTAGAAAATCAACTTTTTAAAGACTAATCGACATGGCTGTTGTACGTCTATTTCACTCGTCAACATTCATAGCTAGTCCTGCTTGAACAAGACAATATTATGCTTACATTTTCTGTCAGTTTTATTCAGTTTCAATTTTTACAAAAGGAAGGACCAATAACTTTTTCTCACTGACTCCAGGGGCGGTGGGGTAGCCTTGTGGTTAAAGTGTTCGCTTGTCACACTGAAGACCCAGGTTCAATTCCCCACATGGGTACAATGTGTGAAGCCCATTTCTGATATCCCACCACTTTTAGCAATATTCCAGCAATATCACAACTAGGGATACCAGAAATGGGCTTCACACATTGTACCCACTTGGAGAATTGAACCCATGTCTTCAGCATGACCAACGAACACTTTAACCACTAGGCTGCCCAACTGCCTCCTCTATGACATCATAAGAAAGGTATGATAGTCTATGGGCTATATAATACTTTATCACCTACAATGACAAATGTAGATCAATTTGAATTGTTGCCCTATCTATGCCTAATTTATCCATTTACAAAACATACCTTGACACTGTCATGTTCTCCCACATCTGTATTAGATAAATAACCCCCAATGGAGTCTCATTCAAACAAGGAAACCTTGCTGACAGATAAACAGCTCAAACGGTATCAAAACATGATTTTATTGTGAACACAATCACCAAGCCACCTATCATGTTACACGTCCCAGAGAAGACCTATGACCATTTACTAACTTTGGAACCATTATCATCTGCAGAGTATCAATGTCATATTACATGTGGCAGTCCAGTTTTCATAGTGTGATATTCATTCACTGCCCTGTCCTTCGAAATGATATCAGATACCATGTTTACAGACAAACATGAACTAAAACCTCAACAAGTTATAGGGGTCATGGGGTAGGCTAGTGGTTAAAGTGTTCACTTGTCCAGCCGAAAACATGGATTCGATTTCCAACATGAGCAATGTGTGAAGCCCATTTTTTGTGGTGTCTCCCGCCATATATTGCTGGAACATTGCGGCGTAAAACCTCACTCACCCACTCACCAAGTAATAAAAGAAGTTTTAGGGCAGTTTCAAGAAAGTTGTCATAGACCAACTGAAAACCAAGATAAGAGCAATTCTGGAGAATAGGGACCAGTGAAAATGCAACAATCATCTTGACAACCAAGAAAGTGTCCATCAGCATTTCACTGGTCCTAATCTATTTTTACTAGCCCCAGGCTATTGGGATAGCATTGATGCATTAGAACACTCCTACCAACCAATTGATTCTGTCATTATGAGAAGAAAAATGTGACAGCTGAAGATACCACTGACCAGGAAAGTCTTCACTGCCCAAAGATAATGACATCATACACAGTAAAACTGTCATAATTATGTTATTGGCTTTTAAATAGATTATTGTATACAGGAAAAGATGTCTCTCTCAATAAATGTCAATAATACTAGAAGCTTTCACATGCACTTACTGGGTATTGATCCAGCAGGACTCTATTAAAGGACTTGCGTCAGAAACAAGATACAAGCAAGATCTGCACGGACACACTTTAAGATGGGTATTTCATACAAGAATAAGAAACTGTCCTAAAATTAGGCTTCCAAAATGTGTTTGGTCCTCATGCACTGACGGTCATGGCAGTCTGTGACTGATAAAGCCAAGTGAGTGAGTGAGTTTAATTTTACGCCACACTCAGCAATATTCCAGCTATATGGCGGGGATCTGTAAATAACCGAGTCTGGACCAGTCAATCCAGTGGTCAACAGCATAAGCATTGATCTACACAACTGGGATACAATGACATGTGTCAAGTTAACTGTCAACCAAGTCAGCGAGTCTGACCACCCAATCCTGTTAATCCCCTCTTATGACAAGAATGGGTTACTGAAGATCAATTCTAACCCAGATCTTCACAGGTACTATCAGCCAAGGGTGCCTGCAGTGCTGATGACAGCTGTAATCAGCTGTTGTTACAACAAGTATGTACCTGGGACCCATGCAGACCTAGAATCCCTACAAGTACCCCTTCATCAGACAAACAATTTGATGATGATTGATGACTGAAATACATTCTGCAACATCTTTCAAAATATTAATCATATTAGCTAAGAGATACACCATAAGTACTCAATGACAATTTGAGAGAATGTAAATGAATGTGAAATTTGTAGAGGTCCATTTACCTAATTCAAACAAACAACTGCACACATGAATCACTCTGTATAAGTTAAAAAAGATATAATTTATGTGTGTTTGATTACAACAAATTTAACAACAACTGTCAGACCTTTCCATTCAGTTAAAAAATGCTTGGGTATGTTTTAATTATGTCTGAAAAAGTGACTTAGCAGAAATCAAAAGGCCAAAATATTAGCGCAGGAAGTTGCAGCCTAAATATTTTAATGATGGCCTTCAATATCAATATCCCAACATATATGTCATCGCACCATTCACAGAGATAAAAACATACCAACATGCGCACTGATTTAAAGCCAGCTTGCACATTAACAAACAATATCCAAAAATGATAAATTACAAATATGTTTGGGTGTCTAATGTTAATGCTATTACATCAAGCATAAATATATATCCAATATTGAATAATCTGTAATCTTCCTGGAAGGAGACAAGTTTATTGTCCAGGCTCGAGGCAAAGAAATAAACAGAAAAATAATTCATGTTCTACAACAAACATCTCTAGTCCCCTTACCTATTAGGAGAAGAGGGAATGTATATTCATGCAATACACATCAACAAACTGGTATGCTGACAGGCAGTAGTCCAGCTTCACTATCAATCTAATCACACATTCCAGCTATTAATGTGATTAAGTAATTAACCTTGAGCTTCAGGTGCAATTTCAGAGAATTGCCGACCCATATGGCTGCTCTTTACAATGGCAATAACCTATAGTGAATGCACTGATAATGACCTGTATGTTACATGATTATACTATCAGTGTGTAATTCATTCAAATAATGTGATTGTTAATACCATTAACATTGTGAAGGCAAAGATTCTGGACCTTCTGAAATATTTTGAATGTGTGATTCAAAAGAAGAAAACAAGAACTGTAATTAATAAACTAACAAACCTGAAAAATGAGATATTGTCTATTCATTAGATTACCTCCTAAATAATCTTTATACATTATCCAAACACAGGGATTGGGACAGGGATTGGGAAAGGCAGGGGCCATGGGCCATTTTGCACATTGGAATAAAAAAATGGCCTATTAACATTTTGAAGTTTAATATTGATACAAGGGCAGTGGCCAATTCCAAATTCAGAAAATGGCTAATAATTCTGAAAATGGCCCATTGTTAAAGTTCACTATCCCAATCCCTGCTAACATAAAAAGATATTTGCAAGTTGCTATATTTTAGCATAAATAAGGACTTTTAACCCTGAATAAATAAGGATACAAAGCATACATATTTGTATTTTGCAAATCAATCTATGAGAACCTATATGCTGGAGTTGTTTCGGTATTTCTTATCTAAAAGATAGCATGGTATATTTGTCTCATGAAGCAAACACAAAATTCCAATGAATTATCTTCCACATTTAAAATGGTTAATACATGTCTGAAAATGATGCAAACATAACCTTGTGAACAGGTTCCATTAAAAAATTGCGATGATTTGGACTAACAGACTAGGGTAATGAATCATTGTGATTCATAAGCAATGTGTATGAAATGAACAGTATAAATAATGGCTCAAAGATTTTTTTAAACAATACCACAATGGGTGTGAAGATTGCCAAATGTTTCGATGGGGCCGAAACAAGGACTGGGAATGAGAAAATATTGACACAAAAATTGTCACCGAAGTTGATGATCTGTCACTTGCACGATACATCACTCTGACATTGAAGTCAAGTGTTTGCGATAGACACCTGCTTTCTGAGAACTCACCGGAATTTGGGGGAATCCTTCAGACATTCTTTAAAATCAACTGCTGGCTTCATAGTTATAATTCACAAGACCACCTAACACCGAAGTAATGAGCAGAGAACGCTGAGATTATCCATGGCCACTCGAAGCTGTAAAGTAATTCAACACATCAATAAACAGTAACCTCCTACTTCCATATTGGTTTCCGGTTTAGTCACAAGAGGGCGCTTTATGTTATATATATTTTAATTTGTATAATAATCACATATATCGAATTGAATATGCTGCCAAACCCTGCTCAGTTGAGAACAAAATAAAAATGTCTATTTTTCATGTCTCGGTGACGCGAGATTTCGGTGACCATCAATGAGGATCAAGGTCGCTGTTCAAGGTCGACTATTCCTTCGCCGGGTACTCAAAGGACGCTGCTTTTCCTCAGGTTTGTTCAAACATTTGAGTTATTCTGTTGTTGCTATTACCACCGAAGCATTCTGAAAATATGAGGAATAATTAAACTGAATATTCGAAACTTAACTTTTTCTATGTATTATGTATTTTAAAAGATATCGAACATTTCAAGTGTGACTGGCGTGTCACCGTCTGAGTCTGACCATGAAACAATGTCATGTCAATCACATATTTGGGATGTGATGCAGTGTTTCTCCAATGTCAATTGGCATAGAAAGTAACAAGTTTTTAATCTATTGAATTCAAATTCATTATTGTCTTCGTCAATCATGGAAATGGCATTTGCACAGGACAAATACTACCCTGATAGTTCACGGCCTATTATAGTTAAAGGAATTTAATAATATGTCCTCATAATTCAGATGTTAAAGGTTGTCAGCATAAAAAAGTTTAAAACGAGTGCACAACTAATCAATTTGGGTTTTGAAAGTCATTTATGCAATATCAGCAATTTCATCCATAATGTTATTTCGCTTGGACAACATTTTCACCCTTTATATTTGCCTAACATGGGATTTCTTGATGTGTGGTTGATCAGGTATCAGATTATAAGAGACTGCTTGTAAAATATTTTTTGCCCACATGCCAGAACATGCTGAATCACATACTAACTGGTGTATGGTGGCAGATGTGCTAAAGGACAAATGCAAGGTTTTATGTGACACAGAATTGTGCACACAAATTTATACAGAACCGTAACCAAAATTCGTGGATAACCTTGATTCGTGGATCACGGAAATTATCATGCCAGCTCGAAAATTAAGTCTCGACTGACGTCACGAAGCGGTATGTTTGATGTACATACAATGCCACGCCTTGCTGACAAAAAAGTTCATAATCTCTGCATTACACGCAAGAACATTTTGTGGGCACACAAATGGTGATGATTGCAAATGGCTTCCATAAACAAACGTCTCATTCACGAGTGGAATATTCAGCACTTTCAATTTGCTGAATCAATGAATAAAATTATCAGTGCGTATACAAAATGAAATCATGCATTTAAAATATGAATTTCGCTGCACTTCCCTTATATCCAAGAATCAAGGTTACGCGAGTGTACAACAGTCATAGACAAATATGTATGCAAGATGCAAAATAACTTCTTCGAGTGGCATTTTATAAGCTTTGAAGTACATTATAGACAACCTTTATGGATAACTTCTTTATTTCATGAGTGCAATGGTTCGATACAGATTCACACTTATCTATAAAGTTAGTCTATAGTCAAAATAGTCATTAAACCTAATTCAATACAAAAAATATAAAATTCCTGTTGTAAATATGTTTATCACATTTTATACTCAAGCACACAACACTATTTAATCATTTTGCAGTATTGTATCTGTACTCTAACCTCTCCTCACACATTAAGTAATTGTTTATAATAGTACTTACAATATAATTATTACAATAGTAATGCTGGATATCATGCTAAAAGCACACAGAAAAACAGTACTATGTCTTGAGTTAGGTTCTGAATGCAGAGTCATGATTGTCAAGTCCTTTTATAGGCTGCTGCATAAGAGAATGATCGCTGTTCATAAGTACGAAGGCTAACTCTTGTCACAAGAAGTAGATATTGTGATTCTGATCTGGTTTGAGTGTTGGGTTGAATATCTATAATAAGGGAAAAATAAATATGTTAGTGGGGATATTTTGTCAGAAAGGTCTGAAACTGCTGATGTTATGCCATTGCATGTTGCTAATTCTCTCTACATGACTGGCCTGTTTGTGTTGATTGTACTTGAAGTCTCAGATGACACTAAGGTCCTTGTCACTAAATTAAATGGGAATTTATACTTCTTGGAATTTGCCAATACCTATTGGATCAGAAAAAAAGCAAGATTTATGGATGTCGACTTCTTTAATGTGAATAAACGTGACGTTTCAGAGTGTATGCTTCTTTCTTCATCAGGTGAATGGTTGGGAGTTTGTATACAGTTGCATTGTGACGTCATGACAAAGTGACGTCATAACATAATCCGTTTAACTGTAATCACTTCTCCCTGAAGATAAAAGTGAAACATGTTGGAGAAGCTCCGTGGCGTGTGATTATTTCAGAAACTTCTTCTTATATATGTACTACTGTACGGTCGGTATTCTCATCACTTTCTTTATATATATATAAACATAGACAGAAGGACACTGTTGAAAGTTCGTGATAAACAAATAAATAACACTGTCAATCTGGCCTATGTTTCAACGCACAACCCCAAGAATCCGGAACTTTTTCATATCATAAGACAAAATGTTCCAATTTTAAATGCTGATATGAAAATGAATCGAATTATGGCTCATGTAACAATGATAAAGAGTAAACGCCAAAGCCGTAACTTAAAACACTTATTGACACGTGCCACATTCGACTCATGTATTAAACCTACAGAATTCAGTGTCTCAAAATGTAAACGGGAAATTGTGGAACTTGTGAATATATACTTGAAACTTCATGTATAAAGTTCAAAAACAGGAAACAATTATTTCATGTACGCTCTAACATGGACTGCTCCATAAAACATATTATTTATGTTATTATATGCCAAGGGTGTCATGAAGAATACATTGGACAAACGGAGTGCTTGAGGGACAGAATGCGCCATCCATAAACAACAGATTAAGGACCCCAAAACAAGGTGCATCCCCTTAAGCCACATTGACAATTATGCAGCAGGAAAGGAAATAAAATTTAAAATATTCCCTTTCTATAAAATGAATACTGCTGACGCATGCAGCGTAAAGCTAAAGAAAACTTTTCATCAAAGAATTGTGTCCATCGTTAAATAGGTAACGCGAATGTGTCTGAATTATACTTGTTTTCATTGTGCTACTAGTACTGTCAATATAAAGCCGCCAATGTGACGTCATGGCAACGCCGCGTCACAACATTTGTATACAGTTGCATTGTGACGTCATGACAAATTGACGTCATAACATAATCCGTTTAACTGTAATCACTTCTCCCTGAAGATAAAAGTGAAACATGTTGGAGAAGATCCGTGTTGTGTAATTATTTCAGAAACTTCTTCTTATATATATATATATATATATATATATATATACACATACATTGAGGCACTACAAAGATCAGGTTCATACTTATTGTTGCTATTAGAATCAATTAGAACTGACTCCAACTTCGTGTCATGAAGCCTTAGCTTTTCAGAAGACCATTTAGGTTATTTTAAATGTGAAAAGAAGTTTCAAATTAATCTGTGAACCTCTTCTGAATGCCTTTGGTCATTTTTATCCCACCGGCATATAGTGCGGTGGGATATAGTCGTCGCCTCGTCCGTCTGTCCGTCCGACCGTCCGTCCGTCCGTCCGTAATCATTTTGTTTCCGGACCATAACTCAAAGACCGTTCGATATTTTTTAACCAAAATTGGTAGATATGTCAAAAATAACCTAAGGTGGTGCCTTTTGCTATTTACAGATAGTTGTCATTTTTATTTTTCTCGGTTTCCATGGAAACGTTTTGGACTTAGTCTTAAAGAAGGGTGGGCTTCGTTTCCGGAGCATAACTCAAGAACCATTCAATGTTTTTCAACAAAACTTGGTAGATATATCAAACAGATCCTAAAGTTGTGCCTTTTGCTATTTACAGATTTTTGGCATTTTTATTTTTCCCGGTTTCCATGGAAACAATTCGGACTTAGTCCCAAAAGTGAGGGGTGGGCTTCGCTTCGGAGCATAACTCAAGAACCGTTCAATATTTTTCAACAAAAGTTGGTAGATATATCAAACAGAACCATGAGGGGTGCCTTTTGGTATTTACAGATTTTTGTCATTTTTATTTTTCCCGGTTTCCATGGAAACATTTTGGACTTAGTCTCAAAAAGTAAGGATTGCTTTCGCTTCGAGCATAACTCAAGAACCATTCAATATTTTTCAACAAAACTTGGTAGATATATCAAACAGATCCTAAAGTTGTGCCTTTTGCTATTTGCAGATTTTGGTATTTTTATTTTTCCCGGTTTCCATGGAAACGATTCGACTTAATCCCAAAAGTGAGGGGTGGGCTTCGCTTCCTGGAGCATAACTCAAGAACCGCTCAATATTTTTCAACAAAACTTGGTAGATGTATGAAACAGAACCTTAAGTGGTGCCTTTTGCTATTTGCAGATTTTGGCATTTTTATTTTTCTTGGTTTCCATGGAAACATTTTGGACTTAGTCTCAAAAAGTAAGGATTGCTTTCGCTTTCGAGCACAACTCAAAACCGTGATAATATTTTTCAACAAAACTTGGTAGATATATCAAACAGATCCTAAAGTTGTGCCTTTTGCTATTTACAGATTTTTGCATTTTTATTTTCCCCGGTTTCCATGGAAATGATTCGACTTAATCCCAAAAGTGAGGGTTGGGCTTCGCTTTCCGAGCATAACTCAAGAACCGCTCAATATTTTTCAACAAGACTTGGTAGATATATCAAACAGAACCTTAAGTGGTGCCTTTTGCTATTTGCAGATTTTGGTATTTTTTTATTTTTCCCGGTTTCCATGGAAACGATTCGGACTTAATCCCAAAAGTGAGGGGTGGGCTTCGCTTCCGAGCATAACTCAAGAACCGCTCAATATTTTTCAACAAAACTTGGTAGATGTATGAAACAGAACCTTAAGTGGTGCCTTTTGCTATTTGCAGATTTTGGCATTTTTATTTTTCTTGGTTTCCATGGAAACATTTTGGACTTAGTCTCAAAAGTAAGGATTGCTTTCGCTTCCGAGCACAACTCAAAACCGTATAATATTTTTCAACAAAACTTGGTAGATATATCAAACAGATCCTAAAGTTGTGCCTTTTGCTATTTGCAGATTTTTGGCATTTTTTTTTTTTCCCCGGTTTCCATGGAAACGATTCGGACTTAATCCCAAAAGTGAGGGGTGGGCTTCGCTTCCCGAGCACAACTCAAAAACCTCTCTATATCTTTCAGCAAAACTTGGCAGATATGTGAGGCAGATCTTGAAGTGGTGCCTTTGCTATTTGCAGATATTTGTGATTTATTATTTTCTCGGTTTCCATGGAAATGATTCGACTTAGTCTCAAAAAGGAAGGGATGGGTTTCGCTTTCCGAAACACAACTGGAAAACTTCTTAATATCTTTCAGCAAAACTTGGCAGATATGTCAGGCAGATGCCAAAGTGGTGCCTTTTGCTATTTGCAGATATTTGTGATTTATTATTTTCTCAGTTTCCATGAAAACAATTTGGACTTAGTCTCAAAAGGGAGGGGTAGGTTTTGTTTCCGAGCACAACGCCAAAACTTCTTAATATCTTTCAGCAAAACTTGGCAGATATGTGAGGCAGATCCCAAAGTGGTGCCTTTTGCTATTTGCAGATTTTTGTCATTTATTTTTTTCATGATTTCCGTGGAAACGATTTGCACTTAGTCTAAAATCAAGCTGGACTTTAAGTAACTGTCAGATGATTTGTTCTTTCAAAGATATGGGGGCCGGGGATATGTCATCTCTTGTTTAAACTTTTGATGACTCTTGTTTAATGGAAATACAATGATGATAATGCCTCTGAAGAATATTGCCCTTGTGCAAAATGCCCACCATATTGAAATATCACTCCACAGCTTTTAGAAATTCGGGTAGAATTGAGTTTTGCTGCGGCAGTGTTACAATCTACAAATGATTTAGCATTGTACTTGTTAGAAAAACATGGCATCATCATAACTTTGATGTTTAAGATTAAGATTTTAGAGTTTTGAGGTTAAGCCCAAAGTTTATTAATGTGTTAAATTCAGTTAATATTACCAAAAATCTTTACAGAAGGTTTATGATCACTGGATCTAATTTGACATAAAAGTGAACTAATTTGCCCTAATTTTGCAGGACACCAAACTCACATTGCAAACATTGGTTCCTGTTGACATTGCAGAACACTCAAAATCATCAAACAAGATGCCAATCACCACTCTTCACGCCAGACAGATCTTCGACAGCCGTGGCAATCCTACTGTTGAAGTTGACCTTAGGAATGAAAATGGTTTGTATAGTACACATCAACTTTCAAATCATCAGCACACATAGTAATTATGTTATGTTGTACATGTTGTAAACTTGGAATATGATCATTACAGTCCATTCTAAGATGTAAGTCAAGTGGAAACACTGCCCTGGTTATTTATGACTACCAGTTTTCTGTTTTTGATTTGGTAGTTTAATTTTGCTGTTTACAATATTGACAACAGTGAATCTGTATGACTGGAACTTGTATGTAGCCTCTGTCAAGCAAACCTGTGAGTGATATTATGACTAAGACCTACATTTTTTGATTGACATCCAATGAAACGAGTCACTGAGGTTGACTTCAAATCCATGCTGAACTTCATGAATTAATCTAAGGAATGTTGATATCGTCATCAGGCCTGTTCCGTGCTGCTGTACCAAGCGGTGCCTCCACAGGCATCTACGAAGCTCTTGAGATGAGGGACAAGATTAAGGCAGATTACCATGGAAAAGGTATGTTCAAGCTTACAGCAATATACAGATTGAGATCACAGAAAACATTGACGTCATCCTTTTAAGGGTTTTGCTGTTTTAGCACCATTCTAGGTGTATCACAGGGACCTGAAACAAGTGTTATCCAGACAAACCATTGATTGATCTAATGAAGAACATCTCATCAGGGTATGTTAAAACATGTCCACCACTAACCAGGTGACCCTATCCTTAAACCTGTGTGTTGTAACAAGCATAGAGTTATAGGAACAAGTTATAACCAGGAGGTCCCAATGGATCAGTAGCTAAAGGGTGTCTGAGAGGGACTGGAAATACATGTGGAGCCATTTTCTCACGCGGTTATGATTGCCTTTCATGCGTGATGCTGTGCCCCATTCTAGCTAGTGCAGATCTTGCACCAGGTGAACCTAAGATAAAATCCTAGTTGCACCAGCCAAATTCCAGTTGCACTGTTTTTATTTGCAGTATGTAATGAAAGAAATATGCTTTTGAATTATGTAGATGTTTTATTCAGAAGTTTACCCACTCAAAAATTGACTTGTACCTGGACTAATAACTAGGTTGCACTTTGTAATATTGGGTTTCACCAGTGCAAGTAACAAAGCACTAAATCGAGCCTTAGTATGCCATTGATCATGTGTTGTGTCAGTGCAGAAAGATAACCCCTGTAACTGTCCAAACACTATCCTGGCAAAGTCAGTCAGCTGTATCTCTAAACTTGAACAAACATGAATTGCAGATTTGTGAAACTTTAATTTTTTCTGTCTGCACAGGTGTGTCTAATGCTGTAAACAATGTCAACAATCTAATTGCCAAGGAGTTAGTCGGTAAAGTAAGTGTTTTGTAACCCTAGGTTTTGTCATTGAATGCTGTGATTTATTATACTTTGAGAGATACATTGGAAGAGAGAGGGGAAGGATTGGTTGATTTCTCACCCTGTCATACCAAGATTTAAAAATAATTGAAATGCCTAACTACAGGGACTTGGCTCTAAGGGGCTTAAACAATGACCTGTCAAGTGGAACCTTGGAATTATGCTTAGTCTATGAATATATATACAATTGTGATGGAAACAAATACTTCATTTTAAATTGAAAATAAGCCCCAGATTGATGCCTTACTACAGGGACTTGGCTCTAAGGGGGTTTAACAATGACCTGTCAAGTGGAACCCTGGAATTATGCTTAGTCTCTGAATATATATATTATGGAAACAAATAATTCCTTTTAAATTGAAAATAAGCCCCAGATAGATGGGAGATTCAGAACCTGAAGAAATCTGGACTTGCTTAATCGAAGAAAGGGCTGGGTGGGAGGGAAAATAATACATCTATAAATACTAAGGGATGAGTGGGAAGGATAATAGTTCATCTATAAATTGTTTTCTTTAGGACATTGACCTGAAGGACCAGAATGCAGTTGATGACCTTCTCTTGAAGCTTGATGGTACAGAGAACAAATGTAAGTAGCTGTCAGTCTATATCTCTTGTGCGTTTGAACTTGCAATTTGTTACTGCCGTTTACCATGTTAAGAGTCAACATTCCGTTTCATTGTTGAATTAAAACTATAAAACTTAATAAAAGTCAAATAGATCTTACAAGTGAAAGAATATGTTTCAAACAATAATAATTATTTGATGTCTGTGAGTGAGTGACCCGTAAAGATCCAAGTTAGAATTGATCTTCAGTAACCCATGCTTCAGTAAGCCAGGTGGATGGTCAGCCTTGCTGACTTGGTTCACAGATGTCATCAAATTCCAGTTGCATAGATCGATGCTGTTGATCACTGGATTGTCTGGTCCAGACTTGATTATTTACAGACTGCCACTATATAGCTGGAATATTGCCGAGTGTGGGTTAAAAACTCAACTCAACTCAACTCAACTCAACATTATGTGGCTGATGTCAAGTGACAAACAAATGTTGAAGTCTATGATCTATCATTTCAGCCAAACTAGGGGCTAATGCTATGCTGGGAGTGTCACTGGCTGTTTGCAAGGCTGGAGCTGCTGCCAAGGTATGTTATCAGGCCAATTTCGTAAAAATCTTTTACTCTCATGTGAAAACTTCCATGTGAAGATATGAGGGCACCTCCATAAAACTTTCTAATCAGTGTCAAAGGTATCCTGAGTCTGGGTGCATGTGAGCAAAACATTCACACCGCCATATATATTTTCTGTATTTTGAACACATGTATGAACAGAATTTAAAATAAACCAAACTGAAAAGGTTATTCATTTATATGGTTGTTGATGCTTTATACAACTGGCCATTTCTGAATCCAGGGTATGTTTGTGTCTTGTGGTAGCTGGCTTTTGCTGTGATTATAGTGGTAATGAACTGAAGCCAATCATACTCAAAAGAAGATATTGATTTTATCAAGAACCAAGATCAGGAGGTCAAAATGTGCACAACCTTCTCGCTCTTAACTTTAGTGTAGTCCTCGGATTTCATGCAGAAAGTTGAGGTAAAAGGTCTGTTTTGATGTGATTGGCCAGAGAATACAAACATCAATTACAATCACTGTGATGTAAGTCTTTTCCTTTGGTGATGGTCGGTGGGTGGGGACACTAGTGGCCCTGTGTAAGGAATGCTTTGCATCTAAAACATCTATAATAGGCTTGAATTCTGTTTGCTTTGATGGTATTCATGTGTTTGTCAGCACCATTCATGGGTTTTACCAAAGTGGTAAATGTATAAAACCAGCAGCACTGCATGATTTCCTCCCCAAACAAGCCATGCCACCAGAGCTCCAGATAAGATTTAGCTCATGTGGTTACTGTACCCACTGTAATTTTTTGGAGTGGGTATTATGAATGTTGAGTGGGTATTTCATTTTCCGTTACCCACTGCTTTCAAATATGTGCGTATTTCAGTCATGTTACTCACCTAAGTATTATGTCATTGATTCAGTTTACTAAGCAGGTATGTTCTGCCTTATCTAATCAAAACCAAGTTAAATATAATGGAAAACATTTCATAAAAAAGCATTCATCCTATACAGACAGTACAACACTTGTCCTACACTAACAGTACAACTTGATAGCAATCGATGTCTTTTTCATTGCGCAAGCAATTTTTATAAATATATTCCGTATGCATTTGTTTTAAACTTTTTGCGTATCCAACATTCTAAATGCATAATTGGTACGCAACAATTATTTTTCAACGCGTAATTGGAAATTTTCTATGCATATTTTACCCAGATACACAGCTTATCTGAGCATCTGATGCCACAACTAAAAAGCACTTTATATCTAGACTTACTGCCTCACTGTATCACTACAAGTTGTATTTGAAGGTGTCATATTTGTAACATATGCCAGATTTGATGAATATCACCGACAACTGTTAAACCTGTATGTGTGTTACTGTTAGGGCGTACCCCTGTACCGTCACATTGCTGACCTGGCTGGGAAGAAGGAGGTCATACTCCCAGTCCCTGCATTTAACGTCATCAATGGAGGCACCCACGCTGGCAACAAGCTGGCCATGCAGGAGTTCATGATCCTACCCACAGGTGAGCAGGGCAGTCATCCATAAACGTCAGCTGTGGACTGTATGGCTACCATTTATGTCAATATGTATTCTTGATGTAAACATTGTCTCCTTGTCAAAAAATGAGCATACTAATGACTTACATTGTCCATGTAGTAAAGGGAAATGTTGTTGGTCCTACCTGAAATCTAGTAATATCTGACTAGTTGACTACGATAACTTCAGATCCTGATAAGTGATCAGTACAGATGGTGGTAGACCACTTGACTATAATTTGGAAAACTCATTTTGGTGAATGATTGGGTACAAAAATGAGTGAGTTTAGTTTTATGCCGCACTCAGCAATATTCCAGCTATATGGTGGCACTGTAGATAATCGACTCTGGACCAAACAGTCCAGTAATCAACAGCATGAGCAACGATCTGCGCAATTGGGATACGATGACATATGTCAACCAAGTCAGCGAGCCTGACAACGCAATCCTGTTACAAGCATGGTTACTAAAGATCTTCACGGGTCGGGGTACAAAAATGAGTATGAGGTAGTGCATAATTAATTACAGTCAAGGATTCCTTGTCAATAGCCCTTTGTTACAAATTAAGATACAGTGAACTAAGTTCATAACAAGGACACTGAAGAATATAGCGACCTGTCTTTTTTATCCCAGGTGCTTGATGTATATTTTAGTCAAAATGTGTATAATGAACTACTGTTTAACATATAAATAAAAATTACTGATCCCTTTGATTTTGTTATAATTGTAGTAGATGGTATCAACTACTATTGCAGTAATACTCAAGGAACCCCCATATTTTGAAACACTGTCATAGAAATGTTGAAAATCATTCAGAATTCATTCATTCAGTATGACATCTTATGACAATGTTATGGACATTTTCCATTATTTGGGTACTTCAATCAAAAATGGTAAGTAATTTAGTAATGCAATGATTTTCCTGGAAAGAAATGTCAATGGGACAATTTCTATTATTCAACAAGTTTTGATGAGACATTCTGCCATATTTGTGATAACTCTTAATGAGGGTCTTGGATGAACTAATCTGAAACTCTGCTGTGATCATTGTAACCATCTTCAGTAAGCTTATTCAGAAATAGGTTGCTTGCAATTATCATCAAAATTATGAAAATTAGGGTTTGTCTAGGTGCCAGTTCCTTCACTGAAGCCATGAAGATGGGATCAGAAACTTACCACCACCTTAAAGCTGTGATCAAGAAGAAGTATGGCCAGGATGGTGAGTGTGTTGTGGCTATATGTTCTGGGCATTTCCATGATGAGAAAGTTCAATGAAAAATCATTGATGTTTGGAGGTAGGGATTAGAAAATTACTGACAAAATGTGTGTGGCTTTAGTAAGACTGATTTATATCATGGTTTTAACTATCTGAAAGGAAGCAGATATCACTGTGTAGAGTTTTGTCCCTTGGGTGTGATGCAAAAACCCTGTTTGTGCCGACATTGTTTACCTGAGTGGTAAACATGCAAGACCTGCATTGCCCAGCTGATGATTTCAGATAATGATGATGATCCATTTATGTAGCTCTTGTCACATACTGGATCGAATGTTTCACGTCTACAGCCAATAATTACTTTGCTCAGTGGACCAGTGTGCACGCGGTTTTCCCCATCTCGCCTATTATAAAACTGAAATACTGTTGAAGGCAGCCATCAACTAAACTCGCTATTAAGACTGGTATAGATGAAATAATCCAAAGAAAGCCTGTTAGACCGTAGAAATATTAATTGTGGGTAGTGAAAGGCACACTAGGTATTTTCATTACTTGATGTCATACAGAAAACAAGAAAGAAGATAACCATGATTATTATATAGGTAGTATTTTTCCTGTACCACAATTGGTCAAAAGACCGTCACATGATTGACTACAAAACACGATATTGACTTGAGTTTTCTGATAAATTACGATATTGACTTGGGTTACTAAAAATAGACAAGGAATCCCGTACGAAGGGGCTTCCCCCGCTTTTCAGCCAATCAGATCACTCGGATAGATGGCACAGAGTGTGCATTAAAAGTTTATGTTAAAACCCGTTTCTCTTTCATTATATAATAAAACAATTATAGACTCTTGTAGAGGTCGATATCGATTTTATTGACCTGAGAAAAACAATATCGCCCTCGCAAGCTCGGTCGATATTGTTTTACTCAGGTCAATAAAAACCGATATCGACCTCTACAAGAGTCTATAATTGTATAATATTACGGAGCGTGTTAAGAATAAATAGACTCAGTTACAACCGCACATCAATAGACTTCTGTATAATAATAGTTTATTTATGGTAAGGTTATGTATATTTTTCTTTTTTAGCTTGCAATGTTGGTGATGAGGGTGGATTTGCTCCAAACATCCTTGAAAACAAAGAAGGTATAGTAGATCTGCATATATCTCTTGTTGTGTAATACACAGGCCCAATGGCACTTACAGGACAGAAAGTTCAAGGCTTTGTAACTTTGAAAACACTGTATCCTGTATCAGTCATTTTCATTTGTTAATAACTGTTTACATTTACATTGGTGAAAATGTGCATGAAATGGTATGCTTGTTTCGCCTCATTCCATATGCATACAATTTCCACTTACCATGTTTATGAGGGTCCGGTTTTCACTCATACCGCGATGACACCATTTTCACGTTATTCTCAGCAACCACAATCTCATTACCCCCCTTGTCATCCATTGACTCCATTTCACAATTAATTGCAAACATTTTGTTTTTGTGATCAAAGTGGCATGTACCAAGGGAAGTAAATAGTGATTTGTTGAACTCTCACAACCGTAAAATGTATCCAGCAATATGATGATATGACATAGTGGGCACAATACACAAAACGGCAGTTATGCTATGCACATGGAAAACAGGATTTTTCTTGGCCTTTATTCTGTGTTATGTATAATGCAGGTGTCTCACAACACAGGGGTCATCCATGGACCCCAAGACCCATGTTATGGCAAGAGATGACTGCACATGTAAATCTGATGTGCATGTGTGCGCATATGGTTTACAAGAAGACCCAGCAGCTGATGTTGCCCAAACTAATTAACACTGACCAAATGATTACAAGCAAGATTCGCCTGTTTTGCTGACTCCGTGTTTGTTTGTTTTCAGGCTTGGAGCTGGTGAAGATTGCCATTGAAAATGCTGGCTATACTGGCAAGATCCAGATCGGCATGGACATAGCTGCATCCGAGTTCTGCAAGGAGAAGAAATATGATCTCGACTTCAAGAGCAAAGACTCTAACCCTGCTGAGTGGGTATGTGTCCCATTGGCAGAAATGGCTGGTTATCATGTCTACACTTGATTCTTTACATCATATACCTGGATTGCTCAGAGTTAAAACATGGGAGGAAGTAGTAACATGTAGGAATTGAATGTTGTATGTTACTCTCTCAATACATGTTATAATCAAGGATGGAACAAAGACTAGAACTGTGTCCATGCCTCTTTATTTACTCATGGAAACGAATATGGGAACACCTGAAAGTACAAGTGTTCCTTTATTCTTTTCCAGGTTTCTTCACAAGCTTTGTTTTGCGCTGTGGGTGAAATTCTGGAAAAGAATAAGGAACGCTTGTACTTTCAGGTATTCCCTTATTCATTTTCCAGTATATGTATTTCAGGCTTAGCACATTATTTCTGTGCTGAACATGTCCCTCTTTGTTGCACATGTGTCATGGATTAGCGTATATATGGCTATTTTCATGTTCAAGATTTGGTTATACTGTTATAATCCTAGGCTGTAAACATGCAGCATGCTTCACTTGATTTCCACAAAATATACTGATATGCAATATAAATCACATGCTTCCGGCCTCAGTTTGGACATATGTAGTTGTCTATACCCTCAAGTATAGTGTACCAAAATACTGATTTTACCTCATCCTGACTTGTACTAATTACTTATCTCTTCTCTTTACCAAATGGTAGTGGAAACTCCAGAGACTTTGTTCCTAAGAACAGAAAAGCATTTCACCCGAACAGATTTCAGTCGTACCAGATTTGATGACGGACCCAATTCATCAGTGCACCTTGGTTTCCATTGGGATTTTATTGCAGAAATGAACGTGCCTATTTATCCCACTCACACAGGACACAGCGGCAGGTCTCCATAACGATGATTTCCTTCTGGATGAGAGCAGTTTAGAGAAGCAGGGTTGGCTCCTCCATATGAATCAAACCCACACGAAGTAACAACGCTAGCCTCCATGCTAACACTTCACGACAATTGCTCCATCCCTATGGATGGAAGTATGTTTTTGGAAATCGGACACAGTGTTTGCCAATTATTTTCTCATTATCTCTGTGACTTCGCTACTGAAGATGTGGAGGGTATACGTCAGTTCGGACCCCTAGTTGTCTCGCAACAGCTGACAATACCCAACCGGAGATAAGGGATTAAAATCAGCCTCACTCATGTCATGCAGATTCTTAGAAGTCAGGTTACCAATCATAACCACCGACTGAGAGTCCATGTACTCCTGTTTACGTAGAAATCAGAACATTACTGACAGATGATTGTGTAAGATTACGGATCATTCTCTTGACACATTAATCATTAAAAAGCAAGCTGGAATCTAATTCTAAGAGCGATTACAAAATCCAGAGAATCGATAAGATGCATTCCTTTACTCACAAGTTTGGAGGTGGTGCCCCCAATGGAAGAAGAAAGCTGGTCTCCAGAAGTATGCAGAAGCACGTTCCTGGGGGGCTAATAGAACACAGGATCAGAATCTCACAAACAATCGATCCCACCACCTACTTTAGGATTCAAGTAATTAGTATGAGTCAGTATATGGTAAAATGTATATTTTTAAACTAATCCTATCTCACGACTTGCACCTCTCTCTCTTGCTTCGACTTTTAGTGGAACGACTGTAAACTTTTTCCCATAGGCCTCCTTGTTCATTTGCCCGTGCACTCCATGCTGCTCTCCTTAATTAGCTTCCTAGTTCCTAATAAAGCTTGCAGCATGCTCCACTAATTGCCCACGTGACTACCTTGAATGATCATTCTCTTTCTTGTCGCACGACTGTGTGGACGTATTGTATATTAGGGACATTATTTCACCCTAACATCATGGGGAAAACTGATAATCAGTCAAGGAAAAGGAAAGTTTGTGCTCAATGCAAGACGAATTATTCGTCCCTCGACTCTCACTCGTCTTGCACTGACTGTATTGGACAATGTAACTGGAACAAACGATGTGGCAAGTGTAATTCACTGAAAGATGAGGATTTTAAGGCCTACCTTCATGTTTGCTCCCGGAGAAACGCCGATAGGGACAGAAAATTAACAGAATCTGATCCCTCTCCCGCCAAGCGTACCATGTTACAGCGACAGAAAATCGTACCTTCACGCAAGAGAGCGACGTCTGTGGTTCAAGAGTATTTTATGGACGCTTCATCAGATTCTTATTTATCTAAGGGCGTTCGGCACCTATTACGTACGCATCAATCACCTCCTTCCATAGCGTCAGATCACTCGCAGGTGGTTGTGATTGACAATTCTTCGTTGCCTGTCCCATCTACACTACCAGGGGACCTTAGATCGACACTATCATCATCCAGATCATCGGTACACATATCCCCTTGAGTGTCCCAACCGCATTCAACCAGCCAACTGTCTCCCCACAGTTCATTGAACCGGACGGAGCTGGCTACAACAGCGTCGCCGGGGGACGTTCATCATGAATCAACACTTCAGGTTTCGTCACCTAATCGCCGATCCAGATCGCCACATCATTCTAGATCACCACAAACGATCTAGATCACCTTCACCATCCAGATCACCATCACAAGCCCGATCTAGATCACCTTGCCAATCAAGATCACCGGATCGATCCAGATCACAGTAGTGGTGGTCTGATTGATTGAAATAATCAAAGATTGGTCGTAGTGCCTAAACGACCAAGCAATCGATTGTGTTTTCTCCTTATCAAACTCAACCAATTTTTGAACACTTGTTTGAATCAACAATATTTTACACAAGGTTTTGTCTGTCATTAAATTTACATTTCATAAGCACAACAAGCTCATTCCAAGTCATGATTGAATTTATCTTAAAGAATCCAGGAAATCTGTGTTTCTAACGTACCAATCACCTTTAAATATGCGAAATTTGCCAATGGATTTTGTGCAGTTTGCAAAAAACTCAAGTTACTACATGTATTTTCTTTATTTTTTGTGTGCATTAACAAAGATAACAGGAACATTTGATAAATGACGCTAACCAATTATTTTCGATGATTGATCGGTTGTAATGAACCAATCATCAATTATGAGATTTTAACCAATTCCCAACACTAGATCACAGTTACGATCCAGAGCACATCTACGATCCACATCACCTGATCAATCCAGATCACCGAATGGATCCAGATCACAACTTCGAATCAGATCACCAGACCGATCCAGATCACCGAATGGATCCAGATCACAACTTCAAATCAGATCACCGGACCGATCTAGGTCAACTACCCGATCCAGATCACATCATCGAAGTAGATCGCCAGACCGATCCAGATCACCGAACCGATCCAGATCACAACATCAAAGTAGATCACCTAACCAATCCAGATCACCAAATCAAGCCAGATCGCAACTGCAAACCAGATCACCTGTTTGATCCAGATCACCTTATAGATCCAGATCACAATTTCCAGTTAGTGCATCGAATCGATCCAGATCACTTTACAAATCCAGATCATCTTACCAACCCAGGTCACCTATACGATCTAGATCACCTTACAGAGCCACATCTCATGGCCGATCCTATTCAGATGGTCGAACCAGAGCTCCATTCAGAACCAGATCACCAACTAGAACTACAGTGACCCGGACTAGTTCTTCATATCATACCGGATCACCTAGCCATACTAGGGAATCCAGATCACCGGCTTACCAACCTACTTCAGTACTTACAACGTCGAGATCTCAATACAGTTCCTCTGACCAACGTTCGGGTGATCATTGCATTGATACCACTAATAGGCCTACAGTCTCTTCCGGCTCATCGCTCATATCCTGTGGACCAGCTTCAGACTCTGCAATCCACAATAGGTATGCTATTAGACATAGGTCCATCACCCGTCACTCCAGGATTCTGCTCCCCCATCTTCTTGGTTCCAAAGAAAAATTCCAACAAACTCCGGCTCATCTTCAATATGAAGTTGTTCAATGCCCGATTCCTGCTTCCACCGCCTCACTTCAGGATGATGTCGATCAACCTTTTACTCACCATCCTGAAGAAGGTAGACTTCCTCATCAGCCTAGATCTTCAGGATGCTTATCTTCACGTTCCGATACATCCAGAAACCGGAAGTACCTTCGCCGGGAATCACTACCAATGGAAAGTCCTCCCATTTGGAATTTCCACGGCCCAGTGGCTTTTTACCCGAATTACCAAGCCCATAACAAGCTACCTCCACTTTCAAGGGATCACAACCGCCTCCGTGGTGTAATGGTTAGAGCGTCCGCCCAGAGTGCAGAAGGTCGCGGGTTCGATCCCCAACCGCGTCATACCAAAAGACGTTAAAATATGGTACTTGTTGGTCCCTGCCTGGCACTCGGCATTAATGGATACAACAAGGACTGGTCGGCTCGGAGTCAGTATAATGTGTCTGAGTGGGGTATTCATGCTTCATTGCGGCATCGTATCTCAGTTTGATGCTGCCCGGAAATGAACGTTAAACCTTGGAGATGCCGAGTTGTTTCTCTTTTACCTGCCTCGGTCGGTGTATGGGGGGCCTTCTTGAAGCAGGTCCCAATTCTAGTCGCAAGACTTTAATTACGGGGGTACCTTGTAAATCGTGGCGAGGCTTACTTGCCGAGTTGCGTCCCTTGTCTTGTACAAGGTTGCGGCTGAACACCACATCGCCCGGGAGCACAAGCACAGGAGTTGCATGCATGCGTAACAGGCCTCCCTTGTACATCACTATCTACGGTTGTCATCAGTCCACACAGCTCCAAGACCAGCTGTTCGCACTGTCCAGACAGAAGGGTAATCTGCGGCCCGCCGTCCAACCGTGGGATAAATGCAAGTTGTGAGATAGGATAAGTATATAGATATACAATTTATATTAAAATTTCCAATTTTTTAAACTTATCCTATCTCACGCGATGGATGCCTGCCCGGCCTCCCCACCACTCAGATTACAACGTTGGCTCCAAGATGAGAATGATCATTCAAGGTAGTCACGTGGGCAATTAGTGGAGCATGCTGCAAGCTTTATTAGGAACTAGGAAGCTAATTAAGAGTGCAGCATGGAGTGCACGGGCGAATGAACAAGGAGGCCTATGGAAAAAAGTTTACAGTCGTTCCACTAAAAGTAGAAGCAAGAGAGAGAGGTGCAAGTCGTGAGATAGGATAAGTATATAAATATACAATTTATATTAAAATTTCCAATTTTTAGGTAAAAATATAATTTATACTTATCCTGAAACATACACAAAAGTGCCCACCCAGATGTCCCCCACTATCCAGTTTCGGAATTCTGCCAATAGGGATAGCGATAACGGGAGAGTGACAAGTCAAGGTCACATGCTGCAGTGGGTGGACAAACCAAGGCTGGGGCTGTGTTCGGGTGAGATGTTTTTGTTCTTGGGAAGTTTCCACTACCATTCGGCAAAGAGAAGAGATAAGCAAAGAGTATGAGTCAGGATAAGTATAAATGATATTTCTCTTTCTTTCCCTAAAAAAAACAAACAAACAACAACAAAAATTTTGTGTCTTTGATCTTTCAGTTGAGCATCTTAGAAGATTGCATAGTTTCCATCCAGTGACGGCCAGAACCATATCATTGACTATATCAGTCAACAGATGATGTGAAACTAAGTTTGGTTTTATCCTTCAGCTGTCTGTTTCCAAATTTTAGTCCCTTTTTATTTATTTCTCCTATTCCTGTATTCCAGTTGTCCTCTGATGCGCTGGCTGATCTGTACAAATCTTTCGCTGAAGATTACCCAATCGTCTCCATTGAGGATCCCTTTGACCAAGACGACTGGGAGGCCTACACCAAGTTCACAGGATCTGTCAAGTTCCAAGTTGTAGGGTATGTATGCTTGGTTCTTTTCATTGCTGCACTATGATTCCTGTCATATCTAATATTTTAATGGCCTGTAAATTATCAGACTAAACAACCCAGTAATGAATGTTTTCAGCAACAGTCCATGCTATCAGGGTAGGATGCCATACATTAAACCAAGTCACCAAGCCCCATTACCATGGCTCTGTTTCACAAAGTGATCAGGGGTGGTGGGGTAGCCTACTGGTTAAAGCGTTTGCTCCTCATGCTGAAGACCCGGGTTCAATTCCCAACATGGGTACAATGTGTGAAGCGCATTTCTGGTGTCCCCAGCCGTGATATTGCTGGAATATTTCTAAAATGTAAAGCTAAACACACTCACAAAGTGATCATTACACTACAACTGTTGTAACTTCCAAGTTAAACCCAGACTTAAGATAGCTATAGCACCACAACTGCTTTGTGAAACGGGCCCCTCATCCTTACAGGCATCACTTACGATGCAAGTGCTAGAGACCTATTCTAATCTGGAATCCACAGGTTTTGTGCAATCACAAGTCAGACATGACTATACTCGTCATATCATTTCCAGATCAGTCTTCATATTCCAATATTTCACTTTGAGATTCCACTTTGAGGTTCACCATGTTCGTCATGGCGGACATCAGAAGATTGATTACAGCATATGAATTGATTGATTACAGCATATGAATTGGATGATCCTTCATTCTGACTATCTGGCTTGTCAAGTTATCGATGACATATGGGGTTTCCTTGATCACAAAACTGGCACCCTAAGATATGATTTCAAATACTCATCCATGAAGTATTAGCCCAGCTCACTCATTCTTTTCGTCTTAGAACAGAACAAAATGATTTCATGCAAGATGTGGTTATTGATGGTACCCTGACAAAATGGAATCCATCATATCTTTCATTGCCTAAAATGTTGACAAGATTCATGTCGTTGAATGCAAGAGCTGAATGTTTTCGTCCCTATGTCTGCACTGTTAACGTTTGCTGTTTGTGATAACAGTGATGACTTGTTGGTGACCAACCCAAAGCGTGTACAGAAGGGCATCGATATCAAGGCCTGCAACTGCCTGTTGCTCAAAGTCAACCAGATTGGAACTGTATCGGAATCTATTCAGGCGTAAGTTGTTTTACAAGAGTAGGTCACAAGACAAGTTTGTGAAAAGTACTGTGTGTTTATCAAAATGATTAAAATTCGGTTCATAGTGTATGGTAATAGCACAGGGTAATAGCACATTCAACCCTATTCTCTCCAACTGCTCATCTCCCTGACAAGTATTTGAAATATTAATTGTAAAAAAGCCAATCCTGCCTCATCTCCCCCACCTAACCCACCTCCCCCAAAATCACTCACCTCCCCCAGATCACTACACACACACACACACACACACACACACACACTCACACACACACACTCACACACACACACACTCCAAATCACCCACTTTACCCAACTCCCACAAAATCATTCCCTTCCCCCAACTCCCCTCTAATCACTCACCTTCCCCAACTACCTCACCCCCGTTGCCAGAATGGTCAGTTAGTCACTATGCTTGTGTGCCACCAGGTGTAAGATGTCTCAGGATGCTGGCTGGGGTGTGATGGTGTCACACAGGAGTGGGGAGACAGAAGACACATTCATCGCTGATCTCGTTGTAGGACTTTGCACTGGACAGGTAAAACCTACTTCCATTCCAGGGAAAGACTTCCGCCCGTATCCCCCCTTAAATTTCATTCTAGTCAAATCATATCACCTGAATAAATATTCCTCATCTGATCAGGATGAGTTTTAACATGTTTATTTGATTGTATCTGAACATACTGAAAGACTTCTAATAATGCCACACAAAGAAAATTTTCCTCATCGTACAAATTTAGGGGGGATACAGGTGGAAGTCTTACCCAACTAGAGACAGAATTGTCTTGTTTGAATTTTGACCATCTTCATTCATCCGGGGCATAAGTGACTGATTGGTCTGAGGTACACATTAGACTGGATTGAGTTGCTTCCCTTTGTCAGGAGCTGCTTGTTTTATTTACCATGCTCCTAGATTTAACTAATGTCAGTACTTGTTTCAGATTAAGACCGGAGCTCCATGCAGATCTGAACGTTTAGCCAAATATAACCAGATCCTTCGTATTGAAGAAGAACTCGGCTCAAGTGCAAAGTACGCTGGAGCTAACTTCCGCCGCCCAGAGGCATAAAGTGAACAGAACTGTTAGATTCAAAATGCTCTGTGCAAGAACAACTATATAGTTTGCAGCCTCCTAATTTCCGTTGCTTTTTGAATGTGCCATATTAACATGTCTCACAGAGAGAAGTGACTGTCGCCTACTTGAAGTTCAGCTACATCAGCTGTTGGTTGGTAACCAGAGACAGGATACCATTCGGGAAGTGTTTTGTTGATGTTTTAGTTTCATCTGTTATTTTGTTGTATATTTTGTTACCAACGTTTTACTTAAAACTCATGTTGGTACATAGTTATTTATTGTTTCCATCAGAACGATTGAAGAATCATGTCTTGGTACAACAACCCAAGATTCAATTTGAAGAAGTAATTAGACTTTGATGTGACTCTGATGCAGATGGCACTCATTGAAGATATACACATTATCTCCTGTGAAACTTTCTCTGTACATATCACTGTGGTTATGTAGCTATACGTTATGAATGTATGCACATAGTTGCACAGTTGAAGTTGGCAACAGCTGTTAATTGAAGTATTATCTACAGGTGAAAATGTCAGTGCTTTTACATTAACATTGCATAGGTCTTGTGGCCACTGTCAGGAATCTCCATGACTGGATTCTGTGTTCCCACAACAAGGAACTGTGGATACCTTTTTAAGACGGGTAAAATATATTACCTTCACTGTTAAACATTTTACAACAGCATTACTCTCTGTAGCTAAGTATTTCAGGGTAGATGAATGTAGTGAGTTGTTCAGTGGGCATTGTTTTGTTGAACAAGGAAGAACGTTAAAATCATATATTCCCATTCCAGCACTTGTTTCACAGTGCACTGTGTGTCTGACAGTGTCCAGTCATGATGATGTGAGGTGGTTGCAAGTCTAGGCTGTGTAGATCTGTGTTCCGATGTAGGATTGTTATTGTTACAAATCTTACATCACTCCTGGCTAATACAGTGCTAACCTTATCAGGTCCTCATGTTTTGCTTTCTGTTGTATGTACTACATCCTCTCAATAAAATATCCCATTTTGACGAGTCTTCTGTTGATATAGCTTGTGTATTGACCCATAAACTATGCAGGGCTACAGATAAGGGCCGTACAGGCGTAATGTACGCCTCAAAATCAATTAAGTACGACATAATATAAGATTTCAAGCGTATCGTGTACGCACATAAATACCTTTGTACGTCTAACATTTAACTTCCGTGCGTATCGTGCAAATGGAAATCTATTTCGGATAAATACTTGTCAAGTTTCTTTTGCGAAACACGATTTGACACATGAGGAAACCCCGACAGTAGGAATCCCTTGCGTTGCCATGCAACGATATGCGTCACTATTTTTCGATTGGCTAAAAACTACACTGTTCCTATTTATATCCATTCGGACCTGACATTTCGCGCATCCCACGGTCGCTCAGTTATTTCTCATCCGTCTTCAAATACAAATACATGGTTGGAAATAGTGATCGATGAAACATCCAGACAAACCACATCACCAACTCGCTCACACAAAAACATGTCAGCACTCCTTCAAAATTCTCAGTATACCTCCACTTGCAATATGATGTGTAAGTACACTCGCACCCCCAAAAGTTATCTGGAGCCCTGCTATGGGATTGATTTTAAGGAATTTCCAGTTAATTATTGAAATTCCAATCGGCATGAACTTCCTTTTTAATTAATAGTGGTGTATCAATATGGCAATACAGTATTGTATTGCAATACAAGGCTCATAATACAATACATTGATGTACAAATGTTCAAGAACCAGCTAGTGCATATTCTCTGGCATAGTTGAGCACCCCTACTAACTACACATATACCAAATACCATTTCATTCTGAAAAAGTTCTTATCATAAATAGCTATTTCAGTATGGCAGGTGTGGCTTTGAGATGATGCCATACAGACTATTAACAAAAGTGCCACAACATAAGCATTCATGATAAAGTTCACTGGACTTTCAGTCTGGTAAGCAAAAAACAATCGTCTCAATGTTTATAATGTAATATAAATGAACAAAAACATTCTTGAAAAATAGAAAGCAGGATATTTATTGCAGCTGCATATGAACAGGGAATAGCATTTATACTCAGCTCCAAAAGAAACGTGAATCATGTAAAACTTGTCAGAGGCGGATCCATAGAGGAGGGGGGGGGGGGAGGACTGTGCACTCCCACCCTTTTATGCTGAAAGTTTGTTAAATGACAATTCAAACTCGGCTGAAAATGAAGTGTGCACCCCTCCTTTTCTCAATAGTGTGCACCCCTCCCCCTCCTTTCTCAAAAAGCTGTATCCGCCCTGCTTGTTAGTTGTGAAGAAACAGTTTGTGTTTTGTGATATTTCATGTAATTTCAAATATTATCTATCCTCACGTTTCATTTGGAATTCAGTATATGAGGAAATATGAATACATCAGACAACGTTTGCCAAAATGGCAACAAGGTGATTTTATCCCTAAATGAACAGAAATGTATTTCATGGACTCATGGTTTGGTAGCAGTGACCTTCACATTATTATATGAAAACAAAGGCAGAATGAACAAGTGACTACTGTACAGCTACAGTGGTGGCAGTTATCAATGATTCCATATTCAGAAGTAGTTGCTGTAAACTTACATTTCATGACAACCATCTCAACATGAACCCATTTCAGCTGTTTACCTCATCAAAATCCACAAATTCCGTAGGTGCCAGTTTTATTTGCAACCATGTTTAGATGCAGCGAGCACAATTTTGAATGTGAACCTAAAACATTTTGTTTCAAGTAATGAAGAAGAAAAAATCTGGATATGATTTTTTGTGAACTTGTCTAGGAAGGTCATGGCCAGAAACAAAATTTATCTCTATTTTGTTGCAATCATGTCCTAGCACCTTCTGAAGCATGTGTGTATGCATACCTTCTGAGGCATAAAATACATATATAGAACGTCATACTAGTGCATATGGATGTTTTGTATTGAACAAGATGATGTCTTGGGAGCAGAGAAACAAGTTCAAAGAATGAGTTGTTTCTCTGCTCCCACGACCTCTTCTCGTTAAATACAAAACATCCAAATGCACCAGTATGACGTTCTGTATTTATTATATACCCTCTTATCTTGCAGGGGCGGTGGGGTAGCCTAGTGGTTAAAGCGTTCGCTCGTCACGCCGAATACCTGGGTTTGATCCCCCACATGGGCACAATGTGAAGCCCATTTCTGGAATCCCCCGCCGTGATATTGCTGGAATATTGATAAAAGCGGCGTAAAACTAAACTCAGTCAGTCAGTCTTATCTTGCATTAATCTTTTACTTAATAAAACAAATGATAGCGTAGCGGTAGGGGGTCAATACGGAATCTGGGGTGCAATACGGAATTTGATCACGTCATCCGTATTGCACCCCTGTATTACTATCCTAAGTTTACATGGGTATATAATAAAATACAGAACAAAGGGGGAAGTTCCAGTTGAGAAGGTATACAACAAGGCAAGCTGAAAACTGGTAGTGGTGTTTCAGTCACGCTGACACAGCATTTTAGCTTTGCATCAATAGATCTGGAATTACAATAACTCTTTGGGATCACATGGGTCAGGTTATTTATCACAATGATATAGCAAAACAATATAATATACAGGGTACTTGAATTATGTAGGCAGACTCGGCTCTTATCTCTAATACTGAACTGATATGTACAACGCACGAGTCCGATTGATCACATTCTTCAATTGAGCATATCACTGTAAAACCCCAATCTCATGAAAATCAGGTCTTTTACTACAATAAATCCATGTAACCTATGTTATATTTGGGCTACACTTTCTTAGTAAAGTGTCCGCCTGGAGAGCGGAAGGTCGCAGGTTCGATCCAAAAGATGTTAAAATATGGTACTTGTTGATCCCTGCCTGGTGCTCGGCATTACTGGGTACAAGGACTGGTTGGCTCGGAGTCAGTATAATGTGTCTGAGTGGGGTATTCTTGCTTCACTGCGGCATGGTATCTCAGTTGGCTAGCACTATAAAACCAGCTTCAGTCTGGGCTAGTACAAGCAGCTGCACATACACATACACACAAGTGCACGTCGTCATATGAGAGAAATATTCTCAAGCACAACATTAAACCCACTTTCACCTCACCTCACCTTAGTAAAGTACAGATTCTACTACTGTTGGGTTGAGTCGCATCCGAGATTCAAACCTACACCCTCAGAGACCGGCACCTAATCGCCAGCACACAAAGTCAGCCACCTAACCTGTTCAGCCACCACGACTTCCGCAAAAATGGAAGTCAGACAACTGGTAGTCTAGACTGCGGACTGTGTACCCCTCTGACAAGTGTAAACAGGCATGGCTCCCATGGCCGAAAGCTATGATTACACAAGGCCATTCTACCAGTTGTCCGACTTCCATTTTTGTGGAAGTCGCAGTGGCTGAACGGGTTAGGCGGCTGACTTTGTGTGCTGGTGATCAGGACTCTTTCTTTCTTTCTTACTTAGGGTGTGGGTTCAAATCCCAGATGGGACTCAACCCAACAAAAGTACTAGAATCTGTACTTTACTAAGAAAGTGTAATCCCAAATACAACATGTTACATTTGACCACTTTCTAAATGGCCTTATGTAATCATGTAATCATACAATTACTCAGGCACAAAATGACTCTGCAAGAAGATCAGTGACAACACTTCAGTATACTGTTTTGTCAGATGAACCCTATATTAAATTTTGCCATCAATATGGTATCAGGAAGCACTGATTCTTGGTTTTGTCCAATATTGGCTTGTAAAACACACTTGCTTCAATTCAACTCCTGAAATTTCTCGTTTAACCAATAAATGCCCACATATAACTTGAATATTCATCTTACAAGTGTTGATGACATGAGACTTAACTATCCATGACAACAAATGGCATGTCTTTTTTTTTATTTACATTCAGAACTGTCTGTAAGTATACAGACACAGAAATCTGATATGTTTCTCTGAATGTTTTGCAGAGAGGTACCATATCAGGCTAATATTTCAGATTTTAATGAGATCGCCCAGATAATTAGACTATCAGTGATCCATACACTATCTAATTGAAATTACTTTTTACAGATGCTTTGTTTATCAGGAAGATCTACCATTTTTTTATTTACAGGGCTATACTATATCAATTATGTTATTATGACAACAGTGACAACAGTGGCAAACAAGGATAAGTTGGACCGGCGCAGAGAACACGTTTACGAGAAGTAGGCGGTGCATGGCAATGAGCAAATCCATTTGGTTTGTGAAAGGTAGAGCAGATGTAGGCTAGTGCATGTACAGTGCATGACCATGAAATTGATTCCGCACGTAGCTGCAAACGCCTTTCTCGTAAGACTCTCACGTAGTCGGTGTAGCATTTTGGACAACCTGGGGCCCCTTCGCTCACATTGGCAAGCACCAGTGGGTGGCACTCATACATGCCAGTACGGGTCAATTGTCAGGTCGGGCTAAACTCATTCTTGTTTGCCAGTAAGTGACAGCCATTGAATATTCTTGGAGGGACATTATTTATAAAGAAAAATCTGCTGCTTCAGAACATTTATTTAATATTGAAATTCAGAGCCAACTAATCATATATACAACTCATTTCTTTTAAGGACATAAGCATATCTAGCTATTCATCTTTTTCGTAAATACCTGGTAACAAATTTTCATTTCAGTATATTTTTAACAAATGTCTTAAACATAAGATTTACCCCCTTTTCTCCTCCACATACCCCCAACCAAGAACACTCAATGGTCAGTCTCTGGACTTGCACTCTACATTATCAGAACAGGGATTTGATGAAAGACATTTGAAGCATGACAGCTATGCAACAAGCATGTCAGCTGTCACAGTTGGAGATGATGGTGGTGGGTGTTGTAACTGCAGCCGTCTCAAGGACAAGGCTCTCTTTCATCATGGGACCTTCAAAATCCTAAACAGTATTTCATGATGATCTAAGCATATGGTCATTTTTGGACAAAATCTATGTACTTGTAAATTAAAGACTTCATGGACAGTATAAATAATTCAACTCTTTCTTAAATATATTTATCATTTTATCTCAGTCAAAACAGATTTCTGAATAATTTGATGTTATCTGACATGTCTTTTCATGCTATTTGATCCTAATAAGCCTCTCTTCTACCATGAAAGGTGTATAATTTAAAATAAATGATTAAAACATTTTCTCTAACTGATCAATAGTGTTCAAAGTGTCATCCAATTCTATAACATTGCCACAGTTAATCTGTAATACAGTAAAAATTCAAGTACTTCAGTTTGAGTCATCAAAATCCACACTGTCAAGGTGAGGCACCTAATTGCCAGACACAAACACACTCAGCTACCATTGCTTTCATTAAGTCAGGTAGGTCGCAGACTTTGTGTGCTGGCAATCAGGTACCTCACTCTGAATGTGGGTTAGAATTCCATATGGGACTTGACCCAAATAAGTACTACAATTTGTACTTTGCTAAGGAAGTGTAATCCCAAATATAACATATTACATCTGTGCACTTTCTAAAGGCATTGTGTATTCACAGTATACACATTAACAGTTAATTTGCTGATCCATATGATCCTACCTGGTACCCATTCACTGCTGGAAGAACAAAAGTATATTTCTACACAATGAAGTACAGTCATATACTGGACAAAAATAGTAAGGGATATATGTAAATTCCGAAATTATGAATATTGATCTATATATTCATTGTCACACTGATAAAATATCAATCATAAAAATACCAATATCCCTAACTTATTTTGTCCAGTAGATGTTGCATGGCATCATTCACTCTCACACCAGTATCACTTCCATGTACGTCAGCTCTTCTACATCTGGGGCCTTATTCTCGAAACGTTCGTAGCCCTAAGAATTCTTAACTTTGATCGCAGCCAATGTGTTAAGAATGGGCTTAAGAAGTTAGTAGGGCTACAAATGTTCCGAGAATAGCTAGCCTGTTCATACAGCTACAAAATGTCATCATGCCCACTGAAAATCCGACCATGTCTAACTCTTGAAGGTTGCCGTAATATTGAAAATTACTGAATTATGGCACTCATGCATATTCATCAGTATAGGTCAAGGCCAGCAAAATGTCACTTCCTGTGTTCAGCAGTACAATTCTCCCTAATATGGTAAGGAGTTACTTACTATGTACAGCGTATGTGAATGAAATGAGCAAAGATGGAATCTCAAAATAAAGAACCTGACATCCATAACTTCTTGCCTCTATGTTATGAAAGTTATGTGCTGTGTTTATATGTAAGACATCATGTCTTTTCAATCCCTTTCATGTTAAAAAGGGGCGGGGGTAGCCTAGTGGTTAAAGCTTTCATTCGATTCCCCACATGGGCAAAATGTATTATTTCTGGTGTCCCCGCATATATTGCTGGAATATTGCTAAAACCGGGCGAAAACTAAACTCAGTCAGTCAGTCATGTTAAAAGTATTATCTATAAAAATATGGATAAAAATGTTAAAAAGCATGATTTATCTTATTTTTTATGAAATCCGTACACAATTTCTTGACCTAAAACGACATACATATTTATATTGTATTTGCCTAAATTGCATGAGAAATCAACTTTGGTGAAACACCTGTCAATGTCAGATATTGAAATCTGCTTACTGAGACCCCATTTAATAGTAATTGTTGTTAAAAGTCTGACACAGGCAATGTCATAAAACTCAGTGTGAGTCAAAAGCTTGTTCGCATTCACATATTTTCATAAACCTGAAAATCACTAAAACTCCACAGATGAAGAAAAATATTCAGATCACTGACAAACATGCGGCCATGAGGTACTGCAGCATCATCACTCTCACCAGTCCTCGCTGTCACATCTCTCCAATCCTGAACTCTCTACACTGGCTCCGTATTCGTAAAAGTATTGACTTCAAAATTCTCTGCCTCACGTATCTGTCTTTCTACAACTCAGGACCCTCCTACCTTTAAGACTTACTGACACATTACTCTCCAGAAAGACCCTTACGCTCATCACAATGACTGTTACTCGCTGTCCCGAGCTAAAATCTAAAATCATTTGGCCCAAGAACCTTTTCATATCCACGAGCTTCTCTGTGGAACTCTCTCCCAATTGAGTTAAATCATCTCCTTCCCTAGGTACATTAAAAACATGCTCAACACTCATCCCAAGTGACTTTTACTCATCTGTACCTGGCATCTGTATATAGTTTTAACTTGAGCTCAGGAAGCGCTTTAGGAATATCCCTGTGGCATGGAAAGGTGCTATATAAAATGTCTGTTATTATTATTATTTAAGCAGCTCACCTTTATGTAGCTTGAAAAATTATATCTTTTGGTTTTGTAGATTGTTATAAATTTTCAATCAATATAGCAAGAACAGAATTTCCAGAAACCTTGATGTTTTTTCCCTTTTAACATACTTTAACACTATACAGGCCTCTTAAGATGTACAGCTAAATTTCAGATTTTGACAAATAAATTCTGTAATTCTTGAACATTATCTGTGCTTGCATATGATTGATTACTTAAGTACAGACAATGAAAGACACTGTCACCATAGAAACCATATGAATTCTAATGTGTACTCTTGTTTTTCACATCTATTCATATTCACAGCAAAACCTCAATAAGTAGTCTTAATTACCACATATTTTCAGGGATTTGATAATAAAATCATCACACAACTTCTTAAGATATTTTTTCAAATGATATAGGGCATCTCTGCACCTATCGGAACTTGGGATTGAGGAACCACTTCTTGAGGAGCTGGTTTGTGGACGCTGGCATCATCTTCTTACCGTCATGGGTCTGGAAGTTCTCCGCTATCACCCTGTTAACCTGGACAGAAAATCACTTCATCTAAAATCTGCAGAACCTCCTCAAGTCATAAGGGACCATTCATAATTTATGGCTAGGGGGGTCATGATGATTTTTTTGATTTTTTTATTTGATTTGATTTTTATTTATTTATTTTTTTATTATTATTTTTATTTAATTTGTATTTTATTTTTATTGGGGGGACCCATTTTTTCTTGGGAGGTGGGGGTCATAAATTTTGTACACATGTTTCTAGGGGTCAGCAATTTTGTACATAATAATATTTAAAATTATGCTTAAAACATATTGGAAGGGAGAGGGAGTCATTGATTTTGTACATGACATGCAGGGGGTCACTTATTTTGTACATATATTTTAGGCTGGTCATTCACATTTTACATGCTTCTCCATAAAAATCATCATCACCTCCCCATGGCCATAAATTATGAACGGTCCCTAATGAGTAAGTAAATGAGTGAGTACGGTTTTATTCCAGCAATTTCATGGTAGAGACACCTGAAATGGGCTTCACACATTGTGTCCATGTTGGAATCGAACCCGGGGCTTTGGCGTGATAAGTGAACGCCTTAACTATTAGGCTATCACACAGCTCCCTCAAGTTTTAGAACCACAAATCTGGATCACAAAAGAAGAACAAAATTTATTGTCGCTGTTGTTCTTCTTGTTGTTGAGGGGCGGTGGGGTAGCCTAGTGGTTAAAGTGTTGGCTCGTCACGCCGAAGACCCGGGCTCGAATCCCCACATTGGTACAATGTGTGAAGCCCATTTCTGGTGTCCCCAGCCGTGATGTTGCTGGAATATTGCTAAAAGCAGCGTAAAACCAAACTCAGTCAGTCAGTCAGTCTTGTTGTTGAGACAAACTAATGTGATGTGACAGTATACCAAGTGTATAAGGTATGTCTATGGTAATGATAACACAATGTACTATACATAGTCCTCCTTTCTACTCTCCCCAGATAGCTATCCTACCTTTGTGAGCATGTCGTGAATATCACACGTGGCGGCACACTTTTTGAACACTTCCACCACTGAATTTATGAAGTAACTGCCTTCCTCTGTATTTCTGTATGACACAAACCCTGCAAAAAATACAATCCGTCTATCATCAGACTGATAACAAAAAATACAATCCGTCTATCATCAGACTGATAACAAAAAATACAATCTGTCTATCATCAGACTGATAACAAAAAATACAATCCGTCTATCATCAGACTGCTAACAAAAAATACAATCTGTCTATCATCAGACTGATAACAAAAAATACAATCTGTCTATCATCAGACTGATAACAACAAATACAGTCTGTCTATCATCAGACTGATAACAAAAAAATACAATCTGTCTATCATCAGACTGATAACAAAAAATACAATCTGTCTATCATCAGACTGATAACAAAAATTCAGTCGTTAGATATTTGGTGTTTAGTGGAGTTAATCAGTCTGGTATAGATAGTGAAGAAATTTAGATATTTGGGGTTAGATTAGTTTAGAATAAGTAGGTTTTGAACATTAAAAGAGTTTGAATTTAGATATTAGGGGTTAGTAAAATCATAGGGGCGTGCCTCGCTTAGAAACAGCATTAGAAAGACATATACAGAGTCATGCAAAAAGTATTCAGACAAAATGGCGACCTCGTTTTATTGCGGAATTGCTTCGCAACTTTGAATTCTCATTATCGGCAATCGTGATGAATAATGGCACGGACATTATTTTTGGTAACAGTCATTCATGTGATTGGTCAGGTCACGTGGGTGTGTTGTCGTCTGCTTTGTTTACATTACGTCGCGTGAGCATGAACTGAACATGGGTCGAAAAGGTAAGGAACTGACCCCCTACATCAACAAGGTAGTGAAACAATTACGTTTGGAGGGAAAACCTATAAAATAAATAAGTAACCTACTTGATGTTCCTCGATCAACTATCTGGTCTTTTATTAAACATTTGTTTGTGCGAGATTCGACAGAAAACAAGCCGAGAAGTGGTCGACCTCATACTGTCACTCCGCGTGATTACAGGAAATTGGAAAAGTTGGTGAAAGTGAATAGACGTGACACTTTGGCAGATATTACCCAAAAATTCAATGAAAATAGACCTGATCCAGTGGTAAAAAGAACTCTGCAATTTCATTTGCACAAAAACGATTATAACAGACGTGTTGCAAAGAAGAGGGTTTTTGTAAGGGAGATTAACCAAAAGAAGCGGCTTGGCTGGTGTAAAGAAACAGACGATTGACAGTTGATCATTACTGGAGCAAAGTTATCTTTTCTGACGAGAGTAAGATAATGATTGGACATGATGAGAGTGTTTACATATGGAGAAAACGAGATGACTGACTGACTGAGTTTAGTTTTACGCCGCTTTTGGCAATATTCCAGCAACATCACGGCGGGGGACACCTGAAATGGGCTTCACACATTGTACCCATGTGGGGATTCTAACCAGGGTCTTCAGTGTGACGAGCGGACGCTTTAACCACTCCGGTGCACCGGGCGAGATCAACGCAAGAATACATGATCAGAAATCACATAAATAACATGTCATGGCCTGCTCAAAGTCCAGACATCAATATCATCGAGAATGTGTGGTTATTTCTAAAAAGGAAATTGCAAGGAAGATAACATTGTATCCATTCTCGTGAAAACCTTGTACACGAAATTCAAGACATTTGGACCTCTGTTACGGCTGAATACGTGTAATCCTTGTACAACTCCATTCCAAGGCAGATCTTGAATGTTATCTGACTGAAGGGACACCTAACTAAATATTAGGTAAGTTTCAGTTCACTGCTCGCATTCTTAGAGAAAATATCTATGATTTTGAACTACCCACTTCCCGGGACTAGCGATAAGACATCGCCATTTTGTCCAAATACTTTTTGCACGACTCTGTAGGTGTATAGACCCAACCCTATTACTATATGAAAGGAAAGGGATGTAACGACGAAACCACCCTCTCCTCAATCAAAGTTACATTTCACAACGTAAAATATTTTTAAGGCCCCGCCGAAGCCTACGGAAATTAGCTGTAAATTGTCACAATCGGATCAATATTTCAAATGTTATATGCCACAACTCACCGAAAACAGCTACCTCCACAAATCCAAGCCAAAAGCATGGATCAGCCAAGACAGCGGGAAACTCACCTTTTAATTTAAACTCCTCCGATTGGTGGAAAATAAATATCCAGTAAGATTTTGTCTGTTTGCTAATGGGCGCGAAATATGAACTTTGCAATATTCCTTCCATTTTGGATGATGTAAGGAACAGTAAATTGGTAAGAATAATTTAAGCAGTTATAAAAATGCATTTAATATTGATTCATTTTAGGAAATTATATTTATAAATATTTAACCTCTAAATTTATTTTTACCAATTTACTGCTCATGTCATTTGACATTCGTGACCAACTCGTGTTATTCCGGAACAAGCTGGATAGCAACTCATGCCCCTCTGGAAGGATTTCATATTGGCGCATGAACATCAGAACTACTTTAAACAGGAACGATAAATCTATTCTTGTTTGATTCCAATGGTACTTATAATATCACCAAAGTAATCATACATTGTATTGCTGTTTATGGTTTTAAAGAATTAAACCTTTTTGATACAACTAAAAGGAGAAAAACTTATTTGTTACAGACTTATTCTGACATAATTATTACCAGATTTTCCCCTTAAATTTCCAATTATATTTTTAAATTGTGTTTGATAATCACAAACAGGATTTGTTTTATTAATTATGTAAATAAAATTTAAAAAAGCTACATTTAATCCCAAAACAGAAACTCAAAAATGTCTTTAAAATATTTCTCAAACTGAACATTCGTGTAACCTTGTTGTCATACCCCAAGTGGAATTTAAATGAATTTGCTGACAAATATATGAATGACCCCCCCAAAAAGTCAGACTAAAATATTCCCAGAGATGCGAAGTATATGCCCAGTGTTAAAGATGAAAGTAGTTGATTAGTTACATGCAGATATATCTAATATTATTGTTTTGAAACTGTAGCGATTTATAATTACATTTCCTAAAATTGTTGGAAGCACACGTACAATCTCCATAGCAAGATCGTCAGAAATACCCCCAGTTGGACCCATGAGAGCCGTTATGTCAACAAACGCACGTGCGTGATTTTGAATCTCTCACCGTCAATCGCATGATTCCTATCAAAAACTTCATAATAGGCAGCAAAATCCTGTTAGTTAAGTTCTTTGTACTTTCAATATGACGATATATATTTTTTATGATTTTTCAAACAACGACATAATGCCATAAACGATTTAAGTACTCAGGATTATTTTTACCAAAGCACTGCAGTCATTTGCGCGTGTTCTGATTGGTTTGTCGTATTTTCGCACATAACAAGCATCAAAAGGGGGACAAGTCTTCTTGGAGGTTACAGAAAGAGGCGAGTGGCGACGAATGGTCATTTGAATGTCAAGGTCATCTATGGCCGACAAGTGAGTATGATTGCCGATGAATTTGTAGAAATGCCTGCTTACTGTCAAGGAAATGATATGGATATGTTGCAATCAGTTTTTAGACCCGTGGAATATGGCCGCCAATCGAATCTAGTCCTACATAGGTGCTGTCAACAGGGCTGGAATTAATAAACGAATTTAAAAGGTGAGTTTTTGCTGTCTTGGCTGAACCATGATTTTGGCTTGGACTTGTGGAGGGAGCTGTTTTCGGTGAGTCGTGGCGTGTAACTTTTGAAATAATGATCCGAATGTGACAATTTATTGCTCATTTTGTAGGGAAATCATCTAGCTTTCGATCCATAGGCCTCAGCGGGGCCTTAAAAATATTTTACATTGTGAAATCTAGCTTTGATTGAGGAGAGGGTGATTTCGTCGTTACATCCCTTTCCTTTCATATAGTAATAGGGTTGGGTCTATACACCTATATGTCTTTCTAATGCTGTTTCTAAGCGAGACACACCCCTATGAGTAAAATTAGTTAAATCATTAGATATTCATATAATATCTCACTATATATTAAGCATGGCTTCTTTTCCTGGAATAACCACATTTGAGCTTTTCATTTGCTCTCAGGTTTTACTTTATGTAAGTAAGACCTATTTCCAGGTTTTACTTTTTGAAAGTAGGACCTCTTCCCAGGTTTTACTTTTTCCTAACTCTATATTTACATCAACATTCCAATTCAGATGATATGTGAGTGTTTGAAATCAATTGAGAAACATTGTCAAAGATCAATTTCAAAGTTCTAATGTTTTCCTAAGCAGGATTAGAACCGCATCTAACAGTCTATAAAGCTGACGCTCTACTCACGGCCACCAAGCCAACAAAGACATAAGGGTTAAATTATCTATTTATAGTTACTGTCATGAGATTGATTTTACTAGCGCTTCTGTTATTCTTATGTATCTTCATTACACGATCATCTAATTATCCATCATTGACGTTATGTTTGGGAAAGTAAGTCCTCGACCATCGGGTGGCTACGCACTCTCGGTCTTACTTCTCCCTACCCTCCGGTCTCGGGTCTTAATTTCCCAACCATAACCTCGGAGTCGTGCTTTATCCTACACATAAAACAAAAGTTTACCATTCAGCTCCTCATCAGAAAATAAGTGCTATCATGTTTAGCTGATTAAACAATTAGTAAAATTACGCTTCCACAAAAAACACAGTTTGGGAATCAGATTGTAGCTATGACAATAATTCATACTTGCCATTGTCTTCCTGGTTAATAATAACCACAATGTTTAAAGCATGTGATACAAACTTCAATATTGTGAGTTACCTGCTACGCTGGATTGAGCAATGATCATGTCAGAGAAAGATGGAAGAGACTGCAAGTCCAAATACCGTCCATCAGGCCTTTCTAGTTCTCCAAAGGCATCGCCCTGCTCTCCAGTTATGTCCTTTTCTGATACTTGTACTGAACCACGTTTAGTGTGAAAACTAACACAGCCCCCATCTTCTTCCGCTGGGAACAAAAGATATTGAAATGATTGATATTCTATTAAATACCTTGTAGTATTCAATAACAAAAGGGTGATTGGGTAGCCTAGTGGTTAAAGCGTTGGAATGATTGATATTCTACTAAATACCTTGTAGTATTCAATAACAAAAGAAGCCCAGGATTTGAATCCCTACTACATGGGTATAATGTGTGAAGTCCATTTTGGGTGTCCCCCACAGTGATATTGATGGAAAATTGTTAAAAGCTGTGTAAAACTAAACACACTCACTCACTCACTGAAAAACAAAAGACTTGCGTCTCCTGAATGGACATTAATTCCCAGTTAACACATGTTGGAATATGGCCACAGAGTGATGTACGGTATCCACTTTTTTCCTAGACTTCTCTGCCTCCAGCCCTAACCTCAAAAGGGGCGTTGGGGTGGCCTAATGGTTAAAGCATTTGCTCGGCATGCTGAAGCCACTGGTTCAATTCCCCACACGGGTACAATGTGAGAAGCCCATTTCTGGTGTCCTCCACCGTGATATTGGTGCAATATTGCTAAAAGTAGCGTAACACTAAACTAACTCACTCACCTCAAACCGCCAACAATGCAGCTGCTTTTGAACTTTCAAAATTAACGTCGGTCTTTAGGCCCGAAGCCGACTGAAAACCATTTGGACCCACAGCTTTTGTTTTCTGCAGCTCCTTATGGCCGACCGCTGTTTCATCCCCAATAACTAAGAGTATTATTTCTATATTGAAATTCTGATCAGGACCCACAACTTTTTATGGTTCTGGGTCCTTAGGGCCTTCAGCTTTTCAGGGTTAAGGTCAAATACTGACCTTTGAACCAACCTATTACAAGAGTGATGGCAAATATAGAGTGACACTCAGAGGGAAGACACATATAGCAAGAAAGCACTGTTGTATAGAGCACTTTTGACCAAGATACTAATGAACAGCTTAAGAGTGTGGACTTTGAACGTTATAAACAATTTTAAAAAGTCTAGCAACAATTAGAGAGTGCACATACTACAGGCATATTACATGCCACTTAATCACCATTGTTTTAACATATGTCATATTTGACGACTTTCTGAAAAGGTACTTTGTATCCATAGCTTTGGCCATGGGAGCCATCTAGGTACTGTTCTAGTACCTGTCCTCAAATATTGTACATAGTTAGAATTGGTTTTCAGCAACTCATGCTTGTCAAAAGAAGTGACAAGTCTCTGGCTTGGTTGACACATGTCATCGTAACGCAATTGTATAGATCAATGCTCATGCTGTCAATCACTGGATTGTCTGGTCCAAACTGGATTATTTACAGACCGCCATCATATAGCTGGAATATTGCTGAGTGCGGCGTTAAATAACAAATTATTACTTGAAATGTATTAAAAACAATTCATACTCACTGCCCCGGCAAGCTTGTATCAGAAACAGCTTCGGTTTCCCTTGTAGGATGGGGCAGTTGATACTACCAAATGTGTTGAAGAGGTCTCTGTTTGTGATGAAGTTGTCATTGTCAAATTTCCCATCCACACCATACATGCGTTGGTCATTACCCCCATGAGTCAGGATCACCACCACACAGGAATCAACTTGGTTCCATGGACAACTTCCCGCAAATTCTCTCAGCTTCGTTCTCATGAGCTAAAAGACAGCAGTTGGCTCTTGCAGATATGGCAATTTAAGAATTAATAATTCCTTCCATGCAAACATGCAACATTATCTGTGAACAAGTGTTTGAAACAAGTAGTCTTTAAAGTTGACTCAAGGGTGGGGAAAGTTTGGCCTAGGACAAACTTTCCCTTGGGAAGATTTAGCCTAGGGGGGTGGGGGTTAGGTTTGGCCTAGGCTAAAGTTTCCCCGGAGAAAGTTTGTCCAGGGGGAAAGTTTGGCCTGTTACACGGGGCCTTCAGCGTGACAAGCAAACACATCTTTAAGAACAAATGACAATATTCAAATCTTTTATCCAAACTTCGAATGCTTTTATTGAAGCAAATGTTAGCAACATTTGCTGACACAATAGCTCTTTCAGAGGAGTGTTTTTTTGTAATCTCCTTTGTTTAAAAATGATTAGTTTATGCTCAGTGTAGGTTCATAAAGCTAAACATAGAGAATGAGGGTCTAAATCAGACATAAATTTCTGACATTGAACACACTTGTTTTTTGCCATAGCTGAATTAAAGACAAAGGAGAAAAAGGGCAGGAAATATGGCAAATATACAGCCGATAAAGAAATTGAAACTTGGTTGTCTCAAGGACCAATGATAGAAGAAAATTTCACTCTCACTTCTGTATACGTGTGGTGTGTAGACCATACAGAAAAATTGTGATTTTTTTCAAACAACAATACAGTGACGTCATAGTTAGGGGAGGTAACTCTGTCAGTTAGGTAGGTATACCACTAGGGATAGCTATGACTTAGTGTTAAAAAATTCATTTTCATTTTCTGTATGTGTCTGTGGAAACCACAGGAATAAGGCAACCATAATCCAAAGGGAATGTTTAAGCCATAATTATGATAAGTTTATGCTCAGTGTAGGTTCCTAAAGTGATAAACTCACAAATAGTGAACACCAGTTGTAATCAAATACCTACCTCAGCTGTTAAGTTATGCAGGATACTGACTCCAAATCCCAGTCCCTCAAATAACATTTTCACATTTCGTACATCATTATCTGTTCCACATCTGGCTTGCATATAGTGAAATTCCTTGTTGTTGATGACAAGTACATAGCCACGAGGGGTGCTCTCCATGGTATAAACCTAAAGAACCAACATGCAGTCATCAATAAGCATAACAGTAAAGTTAGTCATTATCTCCAGGGCCGTTTCACTAAGCTCTCGTAAGCCTAAGATCTCATAACTTTCCTCGAAGCATTCCTACCTCCTATACTGTAACATTTACTTACGATAGTCTTAGCTCTACAAGAGCTTTGTAACACAGGGCCCAGGTTGCCATTGTACAAAATGTTCTTAGCTCTAAGGTGATCATAATTTCCTTATCTTTACATAGACATACGACAGTCATCGCTCTAAGGTTGTTTTCCACAAAGTGATCCTAAAACTACTGTACTATAACACAGTCAATGTTAAAATATGATAGTTACGATCACCTTAGTTATAGGATCACTTTGTGGAACAGTGTACTGTGCGTAAAACAACCTTAGAGTGATGACAATCATAAGTTTACGTTGAGGTATGGGAGTTACGTCCACCTCTGTTATAGGATCACTTTGAGATTGATTAAATCCCTCATTATTTGGGCATAGAAAATATTAATGTTATTATTTCGACACAAGTATCGCAATAATTCAATGTTAAATATTCACATTATTGTCAGTAGTCTGTATACATGTTTAACAAATGACATCAGTATAGAGGATAACCGCTGCCAAGTCCATTTTACCATTAAACTTCAATAACATGTTTAGATTGACTGATTCCTAATATTACTCAAGACATACTGAGTGTTATTTGTATTGTTTTCACTCACGTCATCAGTATTCCAGCGCCTGTGGTAGCTGTAGCCATGCAGAGCTATAGATGCTGAAGCAAAAACAAGCATGAGTTTACAGTGTGTACAGGTAAGTACAGGTAAAAATCAGTAAGAACAGGTGAGGGTGTAACAATTGATGCATGACAGTTATACAGACTGCAGTATCAAAAATTAACAGTGATTGTAATGACACAAAGATATTAGCTAGTGAGTTTTCAGTCTCAATGGCACAGAGTTGTCTCCCTTAGCAGTTTAGCTGAGACAGTTAGTCTGAGCACGGTGTAGCACATGGCAAGAGTCAGTCCTTGTTGTAAGTGACTTATTACAGAGATGCAGCAATACACTTTTGATGATCAGCAGCATGCTCATGATACAAATGAATAAAATACTGTCTCTCATGAATTCATAGTTGTAACCATAGATAGAATAGATTTCCGCCTGTATCGTCCCTTAAATTTCTTTCTAGTCAAATCTTATCACCTGAATATATATTCCTCATCTGATAAGGATGAGTTTTAACATGTTTCTTTAATTGTACAATGTATCTGATAATACTGAAAGACATATCCAGCTTCTAAAAATGCCACTCAAAGAAATTGTTAAAATTTAGATGAGATACAAGCAGAAGTATTACCCAAAAATATACCTTGGCTATTTTCTTAATATAATTGATTCGTTTCCAGATGTTTTGTCTAAACCATCAATTACCAAAATAAAATAGTACTATTCAATATTTTAGTTGTTCTATGAATACAATTTCAGTAGTCTGTGATAATAAAAGTGTCTTGATATTTTTATTTTGTCATCGTTGTGAAATATGTCTTGTAATAAGAAGAGCTAATCACAAACTCATCTCAAATGGTCAAATGAATGATGGACAGGCTTAATCTGAACTTCTTACGAGGTTCACTTGAGTACGACTGAGGATTATCCTGAAGTAACCTCATCTCAACATCATCATCATCATCAACAGGCTGCGATGGAGGCTGCGAAGAAGGCAGAGGTGGAGGGGGAGGCTGATGCGTTGTATTCACCACTTGAGCCGTCTGACCAACAAACACCCCTGAAGGTGCTTGCACACTGCTGCTCCTTGAGCTTGTCTCCTGCATTACTGGGGGGAGTCCTTTCTCAATACGATACCTCATTTCATGGTTGCGTATATGTTCAGCACAGTGTTCGTGACCTGTTTCATCCAAACATTGCAGGAAAGCATTGTATGCTCCTCGGTGACGGCGGTTCAAGTCGGACAGAATAGTTCGGACCTGCTCACTTCTGGGTTTTTTGCACTGAACAGAATAAAAGTATGAACAGTAATAACTAGGGCTACAATGAGTGAGTGAGTCAGTTTAGTTTTACGCCACACTTAGCAATATTCCAGCTATATGGCAGTGGTCTGTAAATAATCGAGTCTGGACAAGACAATCCAGTGATCAACAGCATGAACATCAATCTTCGCAATTGGGAGCCGATGACATGTGTCAACCAAGTCAGCAAGCCACCCGATCATGTTAGTGGCCTTTTACGACAAGCATGGGTTACTGAAGATCAATTCTAACCCGGATCTTCACAGGTACTGTTAGGGACCTGTAAGTTACACTACAGCATGATTTGTACTTATTTTCTTATTGTGATTCACTGAATGTGGAAGTGAATTGTAACTGCCCTACAGAACTACAGATAATCTTTTGGGTCATTGAGTTATGTACTCGCTTGTTTTCATCTCAGTTGGGTATCCTAAGAGAGAGAGATGAGAGAGATGTTTATTCAAATCAAAGGCCACTGGCCCAAATGACATACATTTGCAATATATACAATAAATATACATTTGTAATATATACAGGATATATACAAAATAGTTTAAATTACAAGAATAGAAGCGTACAATATGAGAGAGTATAGCAGTAGATTAAACAAACAGCATGTAGATTATTGGTGAAGATAAGGATATAATTTAAAGGCAATGAATACATATTTACTTAAATTTAACAGTGTTTTAGGACATTTGGTGTTCATTAGATTAGCAAATGTTGTAACTGAGGGATGGTTGTGATACATCGAGTGAATATAGGAGTTTCGGAGTTGGGTGAAGGCTTTGCAGATTAATAAAAAATGATACTCGTTTTCAATTTGATGGATTCCATATCGGCTGCAGTGAGAGCGGGGTATCCTAATTTTCCTTTGAGTAACCAAATAAATTGTACTCACCTCACTTAAACTCATTTGGGTATTTTGCAATTTTCCATTAACTGTAAAACTATAATAAAGACTAAATGTTGGTTTACGTGTTTGATATTAATTTTTGATCTGTAATATGAATTAATATAAGAAAGACAGCAAGTTGCCAAGTTGATGTGTTGAAATAGAACCTCTCAATATACCTGTTATTTTATCTATCCACCGGTACACAAGCTAAGATTTGACTTTTTTGTATGCACGCATGTAAGATAAAATTTATTGAGTATTTACAAAACCTCAAGCGAACTTATACGCAACAGACTTAATAGGAATTGAGTTTTCACATAAATATTTGTGTAATGTACGCAGATACACAGCTTATCTGTACCTCTGGCCCTAATAATAACCTCTTTCACAGATAAGTGTCACAGCTCCAATTTCATAACAGTCAGATCTTCGGCAACAAAAATATACCTATAAGGGTCAACATCGACCCCTCTGTAGAACACTGATTCAGGTGAATTCTGAACAAACTTCCTTTGCTCAATCTAAATGAAAAAGCTATGGGTTCTTTGAGTCAATCAGATTGCAGATTTCTAAAAAATTAACACCATCATGAATACGAATATTGCTTCAATCCATTGTTTGCCATATTTTGTGTGTATCTGACATATTTTGTGTGCATTTAAAATGACAGGGAGTATGAAACATCAACAACAATATAATGGGGCGGCCTATTTTGAGTACATTAGAAATGTACAAAGATACAAATTTATAGATGTTAGGATGTACAAAACAAGTGTTTGCCACTAATATGGCAATGTCCCCCGTCGCTAAAGAAAACTGAAGTATTTATAACATATTTACTACTTTTAATTTTTTGGTCACATACAAGATGCCTGAAATGACTGGTGTCTGCATAATCACCCATTATAGGCTGTCGAAATAATTAAGGACATTGGGTGCAATGTTTTATGAGATATCATGTTTTCATAAGTTTGAAAACTTATCAAAGTTTCGTGGTGACCTTGAAGATATGGTAAAGGTCACTAATGTAGGCTGTCACCAAATTTGAAGACATTGGGTACAGCAGTTCATGAGATATCATGTTAACAAGAGTATGTAAAGTGGTCAGTGTCATGGTGACCTTGAAAATAAGGTCAAGGTCACCAAAATCGACTGGTGTGGAGAGAGTGCTCTATGATTATAGGACAAAAAGTTCTTAGGAAAAAAAGTGACAGTAAAAAGGTCCTTGGTAAAAAAGGTTTTTTCAGTAAAAACTGATTTAGCTATTTATTTGACAAGATTGACAGTGATTGACATTTTTTATATCAACATTTCAATACGTCATTATGCCATAAGACTTTTACATTTGTTGTTTGTGTGACAATGAAAAACTAAAAACTAAAAAAGCATTGTTTTTCTATACATTTCTTGTTAGGAAATGAAAAGGGGTCTTTTTTCCAGAGGACTTTTTACCTAGGCTATATAGGACTTTTTAAACGAACACCTGCTCGATTTGGTGAATTTTGTAACCATGACAACCTACTCGCAAGTTATAATCATAGAGGATCAAGTACTGATCATCCAAAGTCTCTCACAATTGTCCTTCTCAAAATCATCCACACAAACAAACCTGGATATATTCCAACATCATGTCTGTGAAGACACCATTTTCAACCAGGTGGTCCCAGAGAGAATCGGGCATTACGTTGGACACCAGAAAGACTCGGCTCCGTCTCAGAGCCTCTAACTGAAATTCATCCATTGTTCAGCAGTGCTCACAACTCTCCCATATCCTGAAAAAGTTATTATCACCTTAAAATGTGACCTGCTAGAAATACTTTATTTTCTAAAAAAATTCTAAAATCTTTTTCTCTAATTTTCTTGGTGAACAGGCAAAATGAAACATTTACATGATTCCTTAAAGGGCACATGCAACGTAAAACACAACTTTGCAGATTCTGATACCTTTCGGTATGGACTTCATCAAATCATCAAAAATGCAAATTCAACTTATAAAGTTGAAAAATAACGCGATGAAAAAACCCGCGCGAAATCGTAGTTCAAACTATTCACTAACTTTCCCCAAGCGCTTGGGGGAATTCAAGTGGTTTCAACAGCTAGGCTGCGCTCATAGCACATGCGCAGTGAAATAGGTTCGCGGAGCTTGGAAGCAGGTTGTCCGGTGAATATTCGGTGAAGGCTTTGGTGTGAACTATTTTTCTAATGTTTTGTTGATATTTCACAGGCGCGAGCTTCTTATATGTTATTACAGTAGATTACCGATTTAACTGTTTATATAATGTCACAACCTCCAAAGTGTTATCACAATCCAGGGGCGGATACAGCTTTTTGAGTGCATGCACAGTTCATTTTCACCCATTTTCACGAGAATTTCGCTGGTAATTTAATAAACTTTCAGGACAAAAGGGTGTGTGTGCGCCCATCCACCCCAGTCTGGATCTGGCTATGCAATCTCAGTACAGACTTTACCATGCTCATGAATATCATTTGATTGGAGAAATGACCTTCATATATATTGAGAAAAGAAAAGACGAATGAGGGGTAATGGGTATCTATTCTGTCAGAACAAAATAACTGAAAAACAAACATTGTGTACTGGAGTAGTATTAGTAGTGGGGGTATGAATACAGGGTACTAGGTACAAACTAGGTGCAAACTAGGCAGAACCAAAGCAAACTATGTAGAACCTAGGCAAACTATGTAGAAACTAGTTTGCCTAGGTTCTGCCTAGTTTGCACCTTGTTTGCACCTTGTTTGCCTAGTCTGCCTAGTTTTCCATATAGACAATTGTGCGATGTAGATATATAGTACAAACGAAATGCCTCCGAAAAGACAACTATCGCAAGACCAAGTGGAAGAGATTCGCAAGATGCATGGGAAAATCTCTGCACAAGAAACGAAACAACGATTTGGAATCGGTTCCAATCGACACCGCAAAATATAGAATACAGAAGAAGAAGATATGCAAATAGCTACAAAGCCCATTTCCTCCTCCCCAGCTACAAATCCGAGCTCCAGCACATCTGTATTGCCAACCGCAGAACCGTCTACCAACACCCTCTTGCCCGCTGGCGAGATAGCTCCAAATCCGATGTCAACCTCCTGCACAATCCTATTGCCTGCTGCAGAACCGTTGACGTCGCCAACCGTCCAGGACTTCTACAATCGTGGAGCAAACAGCGACAATGTTGTCGGCTCGTGTGGAGCAAACAACGAATTTGTTGGTCGACATCTTGTCTAGGCTGGACAAGGACAACGACGACGAAGACCTCCAAGAGGAAATAGAAAGCGTCAAGGAGGAACAAGAAGAGACCCATCTGGATATCGAGAAGGTGCGGCAGATGGTAGAATCGGCCCAAAAGTGGACCTACCTTTCGATAGCCGCCGTGTTTCTCTGGAAGGTCATCCACAAGACCTGGAAGCACAGCACACCAGCCCACATACCGGTCGAAAGACAGGCCGACGAGAAGACAGAAACGACCAAACCAGTTTGCACGACCAAACCCGGGGCCCCCCACTACATGCAGTAGAAAAAAATATGTGTGTACGCAATTGTAAATATAGATAAAGAACTATATATTTTGCAGCAATGCATATTGTATGCAACAGAGGAAATCCCCCTCATTTCCCATTCGAGGAATTCGACAAAGCAGAGGCTGCATACTGGAAAGAGAACCCTATGGAGTATTCTTCTGTGGAGTAAAAGCTACGAGAAATGGCTGGGGAAGGCCCAATAGACCGACCAGCTCGTATACTAGGCCACTTTGGCTAAGATACGGCAAAACGATTTACAAATCGGAGCAGAATGTATATCGTTGGATACGCTGGTGGTATTCTATTCTGTATTCCTGGTGGGACTATTTGTTTCTAGTTGTATACCACAGACACCAGTCTATCTTTGTTTTTTGTGCGGTGTCGTCTTTTCCGGGCCTACTCTCCAGAGAAGCAGGCTGTTTGTTTTCCACAGGGCTTCTACCCCGCTAAGTTTTTCTGTTTCTTTCTCTAGAAAGTATCCATACTTCGGTATTTCTATGCCTGTAGCAGGGTTCCCGGGTTTGGTCATCTGCTTTGGAATCGGTGCCGTTGCAGCTTCTACCGCTATAGTTTGCATTTTTTCGTCCAGTAGGTTGTTGTAGTCTTGCTTTATCGAAGATAGCTTTCTTGGATCTGGGGCAACGACTACAAATTGGAAAATCTTGAAACGTTGGGCTTTTTGGGTTCCATTGCATTTGGGTTGCCGAAACTCATGGTGCCCTACAGACGTTGAGGCTCATTATAACCAACCTTGGTGTCGGTCAGAAAAGATGGATTTGTGGTTTCTGAAAAAATGGGTTGCCCTAGCTAAAATGAGATTCTTATAAATAAAACGTTGCTGTTGCCCATGGATACCAAACGATGGCTCGCAATTGATGGTGTCACGACACCGTTGTAGTTAATAGTATAGAAAGACATCGAACGATGTCTCCCGCTCGGGAATCATCTTTTTTACTGGGCGCTGGGAGCGGAATTAACCCAAATAAGGCCATTAGGGTACCCTGTATTCGTATCCCCACTACTAATACTACTACTGGGGACATATTTCGCCCTGGGGACCTTTTTATGGTGAAAGATGGGCCTGCATGCATGGCTTGGTCAGAGCAGACAGCATACACACTGTCAAAATACACGCAGTAGACACTAATACAAACCATGACTAGAATACCAATCAAAGAAGTCATGACTTCAATTTATGAACATAGCTGAACAATCACCACTTCATACTGTTCTGCTGTTTTATCCACTGGCCGCCAATACACATCAATTAATTATCAACTCTCAATAATATATTTCTAACAGTCTGACCACTACATATACAAACACTTTTCATGATATTCTGTAATTTGTACATGGACAGAGCTTGTGAAAAACCAGTATGCTAGTGCCGAAGGGGTCGTTGGCACAGGCAATACAGATATGTACCCAAGGTACGTTTCTGTATACAGAAGTGAGTTTCTGTATACAGAAGTCAAGATCAGAATACAGAAACGTATACCCTTAGGTCTTGTCCCCTCCACACTCTACTAGGGGTACATATAGTACCCATGCCGACATGGTATCAGTGGTATTCGTGATCCATCATTGTTTTGAACAAAAGAAATTAACAAATTGAGTGATCCACTCAAGTAAACAGTCGAAAGATAATTTTACTTGAATACAAACGACCACTCCCGGATACAGTCCATATATTAGTTCAAATACCTGTTTGTCAATAAATCTGTGTCCGTCCTCTTTATGTTGTTGCTATGTTTAGACTTTAAGACTAAGAGAGATGGTTACATTTATGTATTCGGATTATTGTGAAGCATTATACAACGCACTTACCTTGAGCAGAACGGATGTTTCCTGGTTTCGGTTTGTATGGGAATCCCCTGTGACTATTTTTAAACCACACGGAGTTCCAATGGAAGCTCCTCACAGCGATCTTTCATCCCTCTAAGCTGAACATTTCCATCGATTGCGGCTGAGGTGGAGTTTTCAGAAACTGGTTCCTGCTCACTTCGTCTGTATTTGACGTCACATCCACTTTAGTTTGGGGCATTCGTGACCAACTCGTGTTATTCCGGGACAAGAATAGCGATCTTCTTGGAGGTTACGGAAAGAGACGAGTGGCGACGAATGTAGTTTGGGGCCGTGAGCATTCGTCACCACTCGCCCCTTTCCGTAACCTCCAAGAAGATCACTATTCGGCTTGTCCCGGAATAACACGAGTTGGTCACGAATGGGCCGTGAGGAGAGTTCCGCATGCCTCTGCTACTCAAGTTTTCGGATTTGGTCTACCTGTAATGCATATGCAAGCAGCTTACTTTATAACTTGTTAAGTGCTTTCCTGAAAAGGCAAGGTTTTAAAATATTCAAAATGTTGTGATATCAGGAGACTGTGTCCACAGGACAGTGTTCGCTAAGATTGGCTTGCCATTGCTGGGCTCCGTCTATTTTTGCTTGCAAGATAAGCCTTCTTGTGGGCTACGGAAAGACGCAGTCTGTTTGTCCCTGAATAACCTGAGTGGTGACCGAGAAGGAAATTTATAAGTTGCAATAGAGTGTGCCGTCTGCAACATTACAGACGCATTACTGCGGCGTATCAAATAACCAAATCTGAATCAGACAAACGCTTGTTATTGACAGTCTCGCGCTGCACGGTCAGTGTGGAGTGAAGATTACCATGATACAAAATATCACATATTTTTTTTATAGTTTGAATATGGATATGAACTTCTATATTATATATGATGCGACGTTTCGGTGTAGATTCTCATACCGTTGTGAAAGAGTGAAGTATACTGACGACGACGAATTAGATCTATGGTTTAACGTCGGCTTCTGGCGGGCGCCAATTTCGCCGACGGGGCAGGTGGGATTTAACATTAAATTATAAATAGCTGGTAACAAGGGATAAATAACCATGCCCCCAAAAATGTAAATGTAGGGGCTTTAACCTAAATAAATTTAGAATGGAAACGTTTAAAACATGAGATAAAAATAATAAATAGCCGAAGTTATAAAGGGAAAGAGAGAAAAACAAAGGCTATAGTTTGTTAGTTAATAAGAGAAAGATTGACAACTACATGATAGGGTAGATAGACGGGGGCCTACAGTGGGGGTGGGGGTATAAGAAATAAGTGAAGTACTGCAGCTCAGAACGGACTTATATACATCAACAGGGATGAAGTAATAACAACATGTAGGTATGAATTAAGGGGATTAACAACAGTAACAAGGCACGGTGGTAATAATGTAGTGACTATAAACCAATAGTCCACGGGGCAGAAACAAAATATACATGGCTGATAAGATTCATTAGCAATGATAGCTGGAGTGTTCTAATCTGTTGTTTTTATCAGTTCATTGTATGCAGATAGGATGAGAGATCCCTGACCTCTGTTTATTTTTTTCTGACTATTAGTATTGTAATCCGAGTCAGCTGAGTTCCCTCAGCTATAACTGACTGACTGAGTTTTGGTTTTACGCCGCTTTTAGCAATATTCCAGCAACATCACGGCGGGGGACACCAGAAATGGGCTTCACACATTGTGTCCATGTGGGGATTCGAACCCGGGTCTTCGGCGTGACGAGCCAACGCTTTAACCATTAGGCTACCCCACCACCACCCTCAGCTATAAGGTGTGACGATAACAGATGAGTGTTTCTGAGCAGGAGACAGGCGCTTTGGTGTGAGCGAGTTTAGTTTTCCATCGCTTTTAGTAATATTCCGGCATCACGACGGGAGGCACCAGAAATGGGCTTAACTCACTGTACCCATGTTGGGAATCGAACCCAGGTCGTCGGCGGGACGAGCGAAGGATTTAACCACTAGGCTACCTAAACGTCACTGACGCTGTGAAACCCAACGTGTTGGAAGAATGTCATGCCCAGGCCATTCCCTTGAATGTTCTCCTCAAAATTCTCACGAGGGACGCGTACTGTATATGCTCTGTGATATGTAGTAATAGGTGAGGTGAGGTGAGGTGAAATTGGGTTTAACGTCCTGCTTGAGAATATTTCACTCATATGACGACGTGCATGCGTGTGTATGTGTATGTGCGGCTGCTTGTACTAGCCCAGACTTAAGCAGGTTTTATAGTGCTAGCCCACTGAGATACCATGCCGCAGTGAAGCATGAATACCCCACTCAGGCACATTATACTGACTCCGAGCCGACCAGTCCTTGTACCCATTAATGCCGAGCGCCAGACAGGGACCAACAAGTACCATATTATAACGTCTTTTGGTATGACGCCGTCAGGGATCGAACCGGCGACCTTCCACTTATCCTTTAATTACTTCGTTAGCTACTAATCAACATGTGATTCCATACATTCTTTAACCTTAATTAAGATGTGAATTCAGAAGTGCCTCGTTAACTAATTAAGCCGTAATTGATCAATTAATTGTTGATCTATGTGTTTATTGTATTGTTCTTATACATTTCAAGTGAAGGAAGCAGCCATAGCAAATCTACAGGAGTCTGAACGCTCCATTGCTGAAAAGGTGACCGACGAGGTTGTAGGCCACCCGTAACCAGGAGGAGGTATTTGCAGCCTGGCGTTTCTACAAGGACGGAAAGCTGAGCCCTAGCTGTGGAACTTCTCCGCTTGTTTCCAGCTGACTAGACCAGTGGAATGAGGTGAGGTGAGGTGAAATTGGGTTTTACGTCGTGCTTGAGAATATTTCGCTCATATGACGACGACGTGCTTGCGTGTGTATGTGTATGTGCGGCTGCTTGTACTAGCCCAGACTTAAGCAGGTTTTATAGTGCTAGCCCACTGAGATACCATGCCGCAGTGAAGCATGAATACCCCACTCAGACACATTATACTGACTCTGAGCCGACCCGTCCTTGTTGTACCCGTTAATGCCGAGCGCCATGCAGGGACCAACAAGTACCATATTTTAACGTCTTTTAGTATGACGCGGTCGGGGATCGAACCCGCGACCTTCCGCTCTCCGGTCGGACGCTCTAACCACTACACCACGGAGGCGGTCACCAGTGGAATGAACTGTTTCTGACTTGATGTAACTGACTTACATGGGTGTCATGTCATGTAGTAGTACGTAAATGGTACAAAAGTGCATGTACATGAAGAAAGAACCTACATGTATATGTCTTATTTGTTGATGTGTAATAAACATCAAGTGTTGTCTGATATAACTTCTTTTGTCATTTTTACACCTTGATATCAAATAATACAACATGGGAAAATATTATGAGTATAGGAATAATAATAATGTATGGCCATTTTGACTGTTTCTATGACCATTTTGACTTTTGGTATGGCCATTTTGACTGTTTCTATAACCATTTTGACTTTTGGTATGGCCATTTTGACTGTTTCTATAACCATTTTGACTTTTGTTATGGCCATTTTGACTGTTTCTATAACCATTTTGACCTTTGGTATGGTCATTTTGACTGTTTCTATAACCATTTTGACCTTTGGTATGGCCATTTTGACTGTTTCTATAACCATTTTGACTTTTGGTATGGCCATTTTGACTGTTTCTATAACCATTTTGACTTTTGGTATGGCCATTTTGACTGTTTCTATAACCATTTTGACTTTTGGTATGGCCATTTTGACTGTTTCTATAACCATTTTGACCTTTGGTATGGCCATTTTGACTGTTTCTATAACCATTTTGACCTTTGGTATGGCCATTTTGACTGTTTCTATAACCATTTTGACTTTTGGTATGGCCATTTTGACTGTTTCTATAACCATTTTGACCTTTGGTATGGCCATTTTGACTGTTTCTATAACCATTTTGACCTTTGGTATGGCCATTTTGACTGTTTCTATAACCATTTTGACCTTTGGTATGGCCATTTTGACTGTTTCTATAACCTTATTAACCTTTGGTATGGCCATTTTGACTGTTTCTATAACCATTTTGACCTTTGGTATGGCCATTTTGACTGTTTCTATAACCTTATTAAGCTTTGGTATGGCCATTTTGACTGTTTCTATAACCATTTTGACCTTTGGTATGGCCATTTTGACTGTTTCTATAACCTTATTAACCTTTGGTATGGCCATTTTGACTGTTTCTATAACCATTTTGACCTTTGGTATGGCCATTTTGACTGTTTCTATAACCTTATTAACCTTTGGTATGGCCATTTTGACTGTTTCTATAACCATTTTGACCTTTGGTATGGCCATTTTGACTGTTTCTATAACCTTATTAACCTTTGGTATGGCCATTTTGACTGTTTCTATAACCATTTTGACCTTTGGTATGGCCATTTTGACTGTTTCTATAACCTTATTAAGCTTTGGTATGGCCATTTTGACTGTTTCTATAACCATTTTGACCTTTGGTATGGCCATTTTGACTGTTTCTATAACCTTATTAACCTTTGGTATGGCCATTTTGACTGTTTCTATAACCTTATTAACCTTTGGTATGGCCATTTCGACTGTTTCTATAACCTTATTAACCTTTGGTATGGCCATTTTGACTGTTTCTATAACCATTTTGACCTTTGGTATGGCCATTTTGACTGTTTCTATAACCTTATTAACCTTTGGTATGGCCATTTTGACTGTTTCTATAACCATTTTGACCTTTGGTATGGCCATTTTGACTGTTTCTATAACCTTATTAACCTTTGGTATGGCCATTTTGACTGTTTCTATAACCATTTTGACCTTTGGTATGGCCATTTTGACTGTTTCTATAACCTTATTAACCTTTGGTATGGCCATTTTGACTGTTTCTATAACCATTTTGACCTTTGGTATGGCCATTTTGACTGTTTCTATAACCTTATTAACCTTTGGTATGGCCATTTTGACTGTTTCTATAACCATTTTGACCTTTGGTATGGCCATTTTGACTGTTTCTATAACCTTATTAACCTTTGGTATGGCCATTTTGACTGTTTCTATAACCTTATTAACCTTTGGTATGGCCATTTTGACTGTTTCTATAACCTTATTAACCTTTGGTATGGCCATTTTGACTAGGGTTTTGTGGACATTTTGACTTGGATGTTTTATGGACATTTTGACTTGGATGTTTTATGGACATTTTGACGTGTGGCCTTTGTTTCCATAGATCTGACACTTCTATCTATAGCGTTATCCATGTTAGATGCGGAGAAGCCGTAGCTGTGTAATGCCCAGTTGTCATTATCAGACTGTAAGGCGTCAGAGATCTGCCCCTTCGCTCAGAGTCTGACCATTGTCTGCACCATCCCCGATAGTCTGTCTCCTAGCCCCTGAACCACATTGGTCCGACTTTTATTTTATTTTCCATACTGCCAAGCCCTATCTGCTGTGCTAAAGCCCTAAATAAAACAAGTCTAGATTTCCCCAGGTTCTGAATCTCTGGTCTCACTGGGACTCCTTTTCAATTTAAATACGCTTGTTTGTTACCATCAAAATTACATATATACTAAGCAGCAAAAGAAACGTCAGTTTTGAATTTTCCTTCGCAGAAACGGATAACTGTAAACTCATTGAATGTTTTGATTGTATATTTTTGACACCACTTCAACTTTACCTGAGCAACGACATTCCTTCCCCAACTCAGAATGGAACCCAGGAAATGGTCTCAAAAATGCAACCTGATCTAGGAGATGGCACGGTGTTCTCCACGTTTGTCATGCAACTCATGTTGCACGTGCTGTTCACAAGGACCAGCCCTATAAAATGCACCCCCAAACCTGGTTGAAACATTCACATTACAACGTCAGCAGGATGCCCCTTCTCACGACAGCTCAGAGGAACCAGGCGCTGGGAAGACGTGAAGCTGGCCACACTGCACAAGCCGTTGCCAATCACTTCCAGGTCAACGTTCGGACCATCTACATGCAGCAGCAACGTTTCCGGGCCACCAACACCAAAAATGATCGCCCCCCGCCCACCTTGGTCCAGGGAGAGGAGGCGGCATCACAGCAGTGCGCTACATCGACCAAGCTCTCAGACCCCACGTCATACCACATTTCGCACGTCACCGGAACAACATTTTCCATCACGATAACGCCGGGACCCATACCGCCAAGGCTACACGGGACTTCCTACAGCAGAACGGTGTCAACATTATGCAGTGGCCAGCCCTTAGTCCTGATTTAAACCCAGTTGAACATCTTCGGGATGAAATTCAGAGGAGACTGAATTACGTCATACCAAGGCCGATTTATTGCGCCAGGCCTTTCTCTGAGTGTGGTTCGAGGTGCCAATGGCCTTCATCAATCGATTGGTGCACTCCATGCATAGACGCTGTGCTGCAGTTATTGCCGCTCGTGGTGGTTACACTAGATACTGAAGTCAAGAGTCTGAATGGACTGCAAACGTTCACGTAATGTCTTGGAATTGTGCTGAGTTATTCATTGATGTGTCAAGATATTGTACACAAAAAATGTTTTTGATCCGCTTATTATGTCCATTTCTGTAATGATTTGATTACAGTGTCTGTCTAATTTTGAATTCGTACTGACGTGTTTCTACTGCTGAGTATATTTGGAGACAAAGCGTCAGTCTACATCCCCGACGGAGCAAGTGGAAAGTTAGCCATGAAGGTGCGACTCGTTGATATGTATGGCAGTAAACACAGGGTTCGAATCACTGTTTGGACAGAAAACATTAGATTTATAACGTAGATTTTCGAAAATTCTGTCGCTACACTCATTATATAATGAGCGTAGCGGTAGACTTGTCTAAAATCTTTATTTCTTCACCGATTTCGTTCAAATTTGAAATATATGTTACTTATAACATAAAGAAATAATAAATGATTGCAAAAGTTTTTTTATTTTTAAACAGTATTGTCCAAACAGTTATTCGAACTCCTGTGGCAGTGAATATCACAAAGAAAACGGGAAGAAGTTCATGGTTACGATTTCGCAGCTATCTCCCTCAATATACACTTCGTGAGAGTAATTTCCTTTACCTGGCTATATTTATTGCGAACAGTTCAGCTGTAAATGTGGTAGGGAACTGGCCCAGGTATATATCAGGATATCAACCTGAAGGTAAAATACCCTGGCTGATGGATGATAAATCCGAAGAAAATCCAGAACAACACACGACTCATCAGAAACTAATTTGCGTTTATTTACAAATATACGAATGAATATAAATACGTACAAGTTTGCTCGATTGTCAGTAACCATTTATTATGCCATTATCATCTTTAAAAGGCATTTTTAAACCCTTGTATATGTGCAGTGGAGAAGTTATGACACCGACATGGACAAATCAGTTTTTAACCATTCAAAACCAAAAATAACAATTCTCTGTAGCCCAATCTATGGGTTATACTATTTCATTTTCCTGAGTAAAAAAAATCAAGATTTGCCGAACCAAGTTTTTGAGACTATTTATGAAATTGTTTTTCTTGGTATACAGAATGACAGCCGCCGGACCACCTGAAAATATAACACGGATATAAAATCTCTGTAGAGAGAGGCATGGGCATGCTATATATACACACACTGAAGACATGCTCTTTAATGCTCCAATACAACCTTACTACCACAATGCAACACTTTAAACTAACCATGGGGAAAGCGAATCTACTTCCGGTGGCAAGACACCGAGGCGGGCAAAAGTTGGCGGTAGAAGGACCAAAAGAGCAGTAATATTATATACGCCCTCCTGAAAAAGTGTACAATATATTCCATACAGTTTATGTACACTTACCGATACAATTCGTAACTGAAGAGATTTCTTCCAAGATTTTGTCGTGGCAGTTGTGACATGGGCCGCCATTGCTGTAATAAGATGAGGAAGAAACTAGCATCAGTACTTCCCTGTTGGATCGCTAACACCGTAACTAACATCAGTACTTCCCTGTTGGATCGCTAACACCGTAACTAACATCAGTACTTCCCTGTTGGATCGCTGACACCGTAACTAGCATCAGTACTTCCCTGTTGGATCGCTAACACCGTATTTGGGGTATGTGGCGGATTCAAAAATAGATGGATGTTTTATTACGTCCTCGAAATGAATTTTCACAAAACTAAAATTGTACAAGCAATGTAGAAAATACATAAAATGGTGTTCAAAACCAGGATCCTCTTGACAATAATATCCTATCACATTACTTTCTTGGTTATTATCTCCACGTAGGATACAATATGTCGGAAATAATTCATTATACATGGCACTGTCTGTTTGTGTTGTTTACTATTCATATATTACGAGAACTCACCTTTATATTCTATTGGAGTAAGTTTGTTCTCTGAAATATTCACGTTCGTTTCAGAGTCCCTCTCGTCTTCTGCCCATTGTGCCGAGTGAACGTTATCTTCCCAAGTTTGCTGAGAGTAATCTCTCCTTGGATCCCACCGAGGCTTATTTTTCCCATGATCCGTCCTTTTCGCCTGTTTTGGTTGTTTTTTGCCATGTTTTAACCTGTTAATGATGAGGGCGGCTGTTCTAGCCCCGTCCGTGAATATACGAAGTTTGGGGTAGATGATGTCAACCATTGTCAATATGTCCGTCATGCTGAAATTAAAGATAATGTACAAATTGATAACATATTAATGTCAACGTTGTTGGGTTGAGTTGTTGAGTTGGGCACTAATACATTACGAACGTTTTGATATATATTCCCTGTTCAATTTATTACTCATTTGACATCATAAATTCGATTTTATTGCATAGTAAATAAATTATTGAAATCGAAGAATATATGCAGTTATTGATATGACAATTTCGATTTTTAGACATCGATAAATGACTTAATACGAAGAGCCTAATTTCTAAAATGAATATTACGTTCTGGAGATCTCCAGATCTTAATTATCTGTCATCAATAAGTTAAACACATACACTAATACAGGTATGTATAACATTGAATGAGTGATAGAAATTACAGTATTGCTATCGTTTTATTGACATACAAACTTAATTTATGTAAATTGAGTAATCGAGAAAAAACCCTGGGAAATGATTTGTAAAACGGCGTCAGATATTTACGAGCCAATATTTGTAAGAGTTGGCATATAGTTTTTGTTAATATTTTGAGAAATGTGTATAATATTTCTTGTTACTAGAAAATGTATGGAAATGTGAAAAACAAAGCGTAGATCGATTTGTCTTCTTGAAACCGCATGTGGCTGTGCATAACCCCACGTAAAGTCATATAGTTATGTATGCTAACGTTCTATGTCATAACCCATAGCCAGTTATTGTCAAATATGCGTTTTTACGAGCACGTGCAATGACTTGTGATTGTCATTGCTAACCCTTGAATTTGAATACACAGTCACTTTTTTGTTACGAAACGGAATCCAAGGATTAGCATAATATCTAGCCTGCTTGTCAGCTGATGTGACGTCATAATAGTGTGACGTCTTATTATTGTGACGCCAAGATACTGTTTTTGGTCAACAAACAAATACTGCTCTGGAATGTGGTTTCAAACACTGTGTTATTTGGAATGAATAACAAAGGAGTCGTGAAGGACATTTTTGTTTCTAGCCTGATTATTAGCAGCTAGTGTATTCAAACAAGTGTATTGTATCACTTGTTTTAGATATCGACATGCCTTCATTCTTCATTCTTGAAAGATAATGAACACCCACCTCATCGAAATATGTCTACATTCTAACACTAACACACTTCTTACCTTGTTTAGCGGATGGATAGGATTTATCGATATCGTTCCAGTAATTTCAGAATGAGGCCGTGAGCTCTCCGCGGATCAACGTGTGTCTACTTGAAGGACCTCTACCAAGGCTAACCAGTTTCACGGCAACCAACTCCCACAATGCCCAGTTTGTGTACTGTGACGTCATATGTCTTATGACGTCATTTTAACTGTGACGTGGCGATACCAATATTCGGAGGAATGGCTAATGTTTTACTTGGAACCCCAGAGCACATGGGGACGTTAGAACAATGATCAACACAAAACCACGGATTAATGTCCCTTTAACTACAAGGAATGGTAACGAAATAGCCATCGTTTCAAAGCATTTTGCGTTCAACCTTTTTTGCACATGTTTGATGCATTCTATTTGTGAGCGAATGCCCCGAAAACGTAGGGTTTATAAAGCCCTGATCCATAAAGCACTATGACAGGCATAAAACAATGTTAAGCGGCCTTCACACAGCAAACTAAAGTTTGACAACACATGTTGCTGAAATTTTAAAAGTTGTCAAACACGTCACACGTCAAACACATGTTGTCAAACGTTCAGCGCCATGTCTCTATCGATGCTGTCACGTGACTGACTGACTGAGTTTAGTTTTACGCCGCTTTTAGCAATATTTCAGCAACATCACGGCGGGGGACACCTGAAATGGGCTTCACACATTGCTGTCACGTGACAATTTCGTTGACTTCGATTGGTTGTTTCTGACAACACTTCACACGTCAAACTCGAGTTTGACAACACCGAAAGTTTGATGGAAAAGTTGGTGATAATAGAGACCGATCCTATTTCTCGACAAGAGTTTGACAACTCTGAAATTGGTGTTGGTGGCGAGTTGTTGGAATGTTCACACGCTCAAACTCAAGTTTGACAACTTGTGTTGTCAAACTTTAGTTTGCCGTGTGAAGCCGGCTTAGAGTGTGGGAAATATACTGCAGCCTTTGTAGAAAGGCGATTGCGTTTACCGCTTTGGAGATTCGATCCACAACGACACAACTGTGCATACGGGGTACGACGCATTTACCCACTGGCCAAACCCTGGCTGAACACATCACTGAAGTTTTGTAAATGACGTATAGTCCGTTTGGCCCAAAAGCGGACCGATGAATTGCAATCTAACTCGAAAACTAATAAACATAAAATACTCAATGAAACGCTGATCGTAATCAAAACATCATACCCACTCTGTGAGGGTTTTGCAGAATTTTTGTCCTAAAAATAAAAAAGTTGTTTAACAAACTATCATTAAAATATTGACACAGTTCACTATTTGTTACGAGGGAGGAGTGCAGAGAAAGGGACAGCCAGGTGTTCGAGAACGGATGGAGACGGCACAGCACAGGTTAATGAATAAATAACTTTGTCTGTGAACGTGCTTCTCGAACACCTGGCTGTCCCTTTCTCTGCACTCCTCCCTCGTAACAAACAGTGAACTGTTTCGGTCCGCTTTTGAGCCAAACGGACTGTAGCTTTGCATTACTGTCTCATGGATTGTATTTAGAGCGAGGCGGTGGGGTAGTCTAGTGGTTAGAGCGTTCGCTCATCACGCCGAAGACACGGGTTCGATTCCCCACATGGGTACAATGTCTGAAGCCCATTTCTGATGTCCCTCCCCCCCTCCGTGATATTGCTGGAATATTGCTAAAAGCGGCGTAAAAATAACTCACTATCTTTAGAGCGACTTAGGCTTATAATGACTACGTATAAAGGTATGTTGAGTTTGCATTGCTCTCTGTGGTCGGGCAAGGGAGAGGGACATTACTGATGTGGTAACTTGGCAGATCAATATAATTCCTGCCACGTTAAGCTGGACCACGTTAACACTTAATGGAGTACAAATAAGGCGACACCGCAAAGGTGGACCTACCAGAAAAAAAATCGGACAAATTCTGAGTAAGACCACAAGAAAAACGTGTGTATTTTTTTAAAACCCCGGACCCCTTTTAAACATTTTAAGTATGGGAACTGAAAGTAAATTTAGTTCTGTCTTTTTTTCTTCTTCTTTTTACTTTTGGTTGCTTTACAACAATTTAAACCTGCTTCTTCCTCAATAAAGAGTCAATATAGACTTACTTTCATATGATTTCAATGAGCCTATATGCTTGAATTTTAGAAATCCACTCCTCACTTTTATAACTAACCTTCTTTTATTCCCTACCGATGATATTTTAAATAATATAAATACAGATTTTAAAAGTGTTTTGAGAATGAAAAGCCCATTACTAAGGTTGCTCAAGAAAGTCGTGGTTGTATCCACAATGTTTATTGATTAATAAAGGGTTAAAGTGTATAACGGTCCCACTCGATGGTGGTGTAGCGACGGCGGTCGTGCAATAGGAGGCCAGTTCGCGGGATGATTATCAGCCATAATGACCAGTTGACGCTCACTCTCTTGATGAACTGACATACATCACACGGGGAAGAGCTATTGGATATTGTACACAACTTCACTGCAGGTATGTACCTTACAAAGTTAACGCCTGTCAGAAATCCCTGTAGTATTTTCCATAATATCAACACACGCATCTGAAAATCTTATGTCAATTACTATTGCTACCTTAATTGTTTGACAGTAAGACTGCTTTAGTCTGATATTATTCGCTTTGGATATTTATGTATCCCAATGATGCATGTTTTTCTTGCAAGACCTTATTTTTATTCAAATCACTTCAATTTGAAGAGCAGATACATTATTTTGAGAAAGTAGTGAGTGAGGAATGTTTTACGCAACCTTTATCACTATTCCAGCACTGACAAAGCGCGGGACACCAGAAACGGGCTTCACTCTTTGTACCCATGAGTGTAATCGTATTTTTTTTGCGTTGGCGGGGCCAATGGGGGGTTCGAACCCCCTGAAACCCTTTCTCCCCCCCTTTTTTTTCAAAATTCCTGGATCCGCCCATGGCTTTAACCGCTAGGCTACATGACCGCGCGTCGCCATCTCTAGCATCTACATTGGAGGGTTTTATCATTCTCTAAGCCAAACGTACTCGACATGCGATAGCCACACTGTTAAAACGGCATGTATTCATGTATGGCACCATGTATCTCTGAATTGGTTTTGCTTGAGTTTATGAACAATTACTACGGGCCTGTTCACCCTTGTTGTACCACCTCTACAGTGACATGTGTGAAGTTGCTCGATGGAGGACACATCTGGAGCCGAGTTCATCAGTTTCCGGAAAGACACCAATAAGCCCGTCATTGTGGTCATCAGTGTGGTCTTCACTTTGCTCATCGTCATGGGCAACAGTCTGGTGCTGTCCTTGTTCGCCACCAAGAAGAAAGTCAGAACACCCAGAAACGCCTACATAGCATTTTTGGCCATTACAGGTTAGTGAGTGAGTGAGTGGATGTGAGGGTGAGTGAGTGGTCAGTCCCTGTTTCACTATCTTTAACAGGCAGCCAATTAGTACCTATAGTATTTACGGTGTCATTTGTGAAAAATGAGATGTAACTATCAAAACAGTTTCTGCATGGACACTATATAATTTGTGGATAATTAAAGTCAAATTACATACTCTTGGTGACTCCTCTATCTTAAGCTAGTCCATAACTTAAAGTTAAGGCAATTTTTGTTGTCACCAGTTTTTACAACTACGGCAATGTAGACAATTTAAGTCCCTATTACGCATTTGTGTAAGGTTTGACAATACTCTGTATAGCCGGGACTGTGGGGTAGCCTAGGTTAAGCGTTCGATCGTCGGCCCGGGATCGATTCCCCCACATGGGTACAGGTACTCTGTACCACATGTTCCATTGCTGTTCTAATCCCAGATCGCCTCCGTGGTGTAGTGGTTAGAGCGTCCGCCCGGAGAGCGGAAGGTTGCGGGTTCGATCCCCGACCGCGTCATACCAAAAGACGTGAAAATATGGTACTTGTTGGTCCCTGCCTGACGCTCGGCATTATTGGGTACAACAAGGACTGGTAGGCTCGGAGTCAGTATACTGTGTCTGAGTGGGGTATTCATGCTTCACTGCAGCATTGTATCTCAGTGAGCTAGCACTATAAAACCAGCTTCAGTCTGGGCTAGTACAAACAGCCGCACATACACATACACACGCATGCACGTCGTCATATGAGCGAAATATTCTCAAGCACGACGTTAAACCCAATTTCACCTCACCTCACCTCACCTCACCTCACCTGTTCTAATCCCAGGTTCGCCTCCAACTGGATACCTGGTCATTACTACATGCGACTCGTACCTTTTCATCAGTGTGGTTCATGGACTACTATGTGTATGTTTTCAGGCTTTCCTCACACATTAAACATGTTTTCATACAGCTGAAATAACTGCACGAAACTGAGTTTCAACCACGCAATGACCACCTCTTTGATAATTTGTTTAAAAACGAACATCTAAAAATCATTGAAAAACTGTTTTTCGCCTTTGTACAAATGATAGCAGTCCCGTGAAGATCCGGGTTAGAGTTGATCTTCAGCAACCCATACTTGTCGTAAGAGACGACTCACAGGACCGAGTGGTCAGGCTCGCTGACTTAGCAGTCACATGTCATCGTATCCCAATTGCGTAGATCGATGCTCATGCTGTTGATCACCGGATTGTCTGGTCCAGACTCGATTATTTACAGACCGCTGCCATGTAGATGGAATATTGCCGAGTCTGGGGTAAACGTAAACTCATCCACTCACTCACAAATGATATGGATGCATATTGGGGCGGAGGCGTATAACTGAAATAGATCCGGTTGGTTTTACAAAAATACGTCAACCAAAGAACAAACTGAGCGTTCCAAAATTTGATCGGTTGTGGTTCGAAAAGTATTGGCTGAAATATGTCCTTTTATGTTTCCACAGATATGTTGGTTGGTGTTTTTATCATCCCCCTCGACATCCTGCACGAGGTCGACGCCATCACACCCACGTCAGCAACATGCAAGATCCTGGAGTTCATGCGATACTTCGTCCTCACATCCAACCTGTATTGTGTAGTTGCCATAGCAGCGGATAGGTACCGATGCATCGTGCACATGTACTCAAATAAGCCGTCGTTTAAACACGTCAACATCGTCATTACCATCATTTGGTTATGCTCAGCAGTTTATGCCATCCGGGAACCCTTTATCTATGACGTCTTAAGCAAGAGTG